TTAATTAATGTTATATGTATTGGTTTTAATGATTGTTTTGTATTTGATTGTGTTATATTATTGTAATTGTGATGTAGCGGTCTTGCACCGTTACTAATGTAAGCTGTCCTGAGTCTCCCTTCGGTGGTAGAGAAGAGACAGGGTACAAATGCCAGTAATAAATATACAAATAAATACATTTCTCTCCTGTTTTCTTCCCCTTGTTTACCATGCAGTGCAATGTCAGCAGCGGAACAACAACCAGCGGAGATCTCTCCATCATCCAACTCTTCATCCAGCTACTATGATGCAGTGGAAGCAGAAGCAGCAAATAAATATGAACTGGTTTCTCCACATTGGTTTTATTGCAAGCTAGTTGATTCCAAAGAAAGGTGGACTCCCTTCAGCGCACAAGACTCCGAGAAGTTGGAGCTTGCCCACCAGTCATGTAAGTTGCAAGTTGATATCGGATCTATCAGAAAAAAGAGCGCCATACTTCTACGCTGAACTGCAGGTTCTGTGTTAGCAATTTTATTGCATACTAGCCGTCCCCTGCCACACGTTGCTGTGGCCCAGTCTGGTGATCTGGAAAATAAAGTAATGAGAAAGTGTTGGTTTCTAATATATGTAATTTCTTTATGCTTGTGGGTAAACAGTATTTCTTGCTGTTTCTTTGTCAGTGTTGATGTGGAGATTGTCTGGTTTGCCTATTCTGGAACATGCAACATAGAATTGTCCTTCTTTAGGGGTCCCTTTCAAATCTATGATACTATATCTCTCATATAGTGTGTGTGTGTGTGTGTGTGTGTGTGTGTGAGAGAGAGAGAGAGAGAGAGAGAGAGAGAGAGAGAGAGAATCAAATATGCCTATCTAGATCTATGGCTGGATGGGTCTTTGCCAGGGGGGCTTTGATTAGGGGTCCCTTTCAAATCTATGATACTATATCTGTCATATTTATTTATTTATTTATTTCATATACTTCTACCCCACCCTTCTCAACCCCCGAGGGGGGACTCAGGGCCCCTTGTGGTTTTTTCTAATGCTATTTTATTTATTTATTTATTTCGTATACTTCTACCCCGCCCTTCTCAACCCCCGAGGGGGGACTCAGGGCAGCTTACAAAAAGGCACAATTTGATGCCTACACAATAATACAATAAACGTATAAAAACAGCAGTTAAATGGTTAAACAATTAAAACAACAATATATATCACAGTCAATAGCCAATCTCAAGCACAGCGTTCGCCAACTCAGAATCTATTCCTATCCGTCGTCGCAGTCCTTTATTTATCTGCCAGATTGCCCAAACGCCTGGTCCCAAATCCATGTTTTTAATTTCCTTCTAAAGGAAAGGAGGGATGTCGCTGATCTAATTTCCCTGGAGAGTGAATTCCATAGGTGAGGGGCCACCACTGAGAAGGCCCTGCTCCTCATCCCCGCCAATCTCACTTGTAACAGAGGCGGGACCGAGAGCAGGGCCTCCCCAGAGGATCTCAAACTCCGAGGTGGGATGTAGAGGGAGATCCGTTCGGACAGATACGCTGGGCCGGAACCATATGTGTGTGTGAATCATATCTATCTATCTATATGTATGGCTAGATGGCTCTCTGTCAGGAGGGCTTTTGTTATGTTTTCTTGCCCTGGTGAAGGGAGTTGGACTTGATGGCCTTAAGTATTTTTCTGTTGGTCATGGGGGAGGAAGTTTGCCCCAATTCTCTTTTTCGTGAGTCTCAGAATGCTCTGATTGTAGGTGAACTATAAATCCCAGTAACTACAACTTCCAAATGTCACAGTCTATTTTCCCCAAACTCCATCTGTGTTCATATTTGGGCATATTGAGTATTCATTCCAAGTTTGGTCCAGGTCCATTATTGTTTGAGTCCACAGTGCTCTCTGGATGTAGGTGAACTATAACTCCCAAACTCAAGGTCAATGCCCACCAAACGCTTCCAGTATTCTGTTAGTCATTGGAGGTCTGTGTGCCAAGATTGGTTCAATTCCATCATTGGTGGAGTTCAGAATGCTCTTTGATTGTAGGTGTACTATAAATCCCAGCAACTACAACTCCCAAATGACAAAAACAATTTTTTTGAGTGATGGTCGCTCCTTGGGTTAGTAGGTGTCTTGTGGCCAAATTTCGCAGCTGTTCATACAGTGGTTTTTGAGTTATGTTAATCCCACAAACGAACATTACATTTTTATTTATATAGATAAGAGGAATACAAAAAATTACCATAGCTTAATTGCATTTCATGAATGATTTTGATGGATTTTTAAAAATAGCTATTGAATGTGTTGTATTTTCCTCCTCCTCTTCTTCTGCTGAATGACTTCAGGCTTTTTAAAAGGAAGAATGAAAACGTAAAATAAATAGTAGAACTCTCTCGTAATCAAGGGGAAAAAATACTTGTGGACCTCTAGATATGGTTACAGTTCAGGTCTTATCAGTCCCATCCAGCATGCCCCATTGGTTTCGTTGTCTTAGTTCCTCTCATTCCACAGTAGGCATTGGACTATAACAGTATCGGGAAGATCCGGGGTATGGATGTGTCGTAAACAAACAAATAAATAATACAATATTATAATTACTGTATATACTCAAGTATAAGCCTAGTTTTTCAGCCCCCTTTTTAGGCTGAAAAAGCTGCCCTCGGCAGCTTTTATTGATTATTTTACTCTGTTATTACTATTATTTTTATTATATTTATTATTTTACTTTATTATTAGTATTATTACATTTACATTATTTTACTCTATTATTATTTTATTACATTTATTTTACTCTATTTATTATTATATTTATTATTTTACTTTATTATTATTGTTATTACATTTATTATTTTACTTTATTATTGTTGTTATTACATTTGCATTATTTTACTCTATTATTATTTTATTACATTTATTTTACTCTATTTATTATTATTATTATTACATTTATTATTTTACTTTCTTTATTATTATTGGAAGGATACGTAAGCACATTTACACTGAAAAAGGTTAGAATAATGGTTTAATCAAAGTTGGTCAGTCTTATTTTAAATTATAGTTTTATGTAAACATTGAAAAACATTGAATCTACTGTTTCCTCAATTAATGTAATTTTATTGGTATCTATATTTATTTTGTATTACCAGTAGCTGCTGCATTTCCCACCCTCGACTTATACTCGAGTCAATAAGTTTTCCCATTTTTGGTGGTAAAATTAGGTGCCTCGGTTTATATTCGGGTCGGCTTATACTTAAGTATATATGTTATATATTTATATTACATGTAATATTAATAATGTTACAATATAATGGTGTAGTACAATATAGTAATATATAATACTGATACTGTACTATGCTAATAATATAATATATTGTATGTATATTTATCTTGTAAGCCACTCTGCCCTTCTCACCTTCGGGGTGAGAAGGGCAGCATATAAATGTCGTAAATCTATATAAATAAAAATGTAATGTTCGTTTGTGGGATTAACAGAACTCAAAAACCACTGGACGAATTGACACCAAATTTGGACATAAGACACTTCTCAGGCCAACGAGTGACCATCACTCATAAAACAATGAAAAACACAGCATAAAGGACTTGAAAAGCCAAAAAAAAAAAACCCCCACATTACAATGCATGCGCAAAACCACATATATATATACACAAACACACATATGCATATACACACACAGAAAGGAGGAAGGAAGGAGTGAAGGAGGGAGTGAAGGAAGGAAAGAAAGAAGGGTAGAGAAGGAAGGAAGGAAGGCAAGAAGGAGAGAAGGAAGGAAAGAAAGAAGGGTAGAGAAGGAAGGAGGGAAGAAAGGAAAGGAGAGAAGGAAGGAAAAAAGGGGTAGAGAAGGAAGGAAGGAAAAAAGGGGTAGAGAAGGAAGGAAGGAAGAAAGAAGGAGGGAAGGAGAGAAGGAAAGAAAGAAGGGTAGAGAAGGAAGGAAGGAGAGAAGGAGGGAAAGAAGGAGGGAAGGAGATAAAGAAGGAAAAAAGAAGGGTAGAGAAGGAAGGAGGGAGAGAAAGGGGAGAAAGATGAAAAGAAGGAGAGAATGAAAGAAAGAAAGGTAGAGAAGGAAGGAATGAGAGAAGGAGGGAAAGAAGGAGGGAAGGAAAGAAAGAAGGGTAGAGAAGGAAGGAAGGAGAGAATGAGGGAGAGAATAAAATAAAAAAGTGAAAGAGGGAAGCAAAGAGAGAAGGAACGAAAGAGAGAAAGAGGGAAGGAAAGAGACAAGGAAGGATGGAACCAAAGGGCAAAGGAAGTGAGAAAAGAAACAGGTAGAGAAGGAAGAAAGAAGAAAGGAAAGAAAAAGAGGAAAGGAAGGAAAGAGGGGGGGAAGGAAGGAGAGAAAGAAAGAAGGAGAGAAAGAGGGAGGGAAGGTTGGCCACAGCAATGTGTGGCGGGTACAACTAGTAAATAAATAAATACGTTGTGCAAAATACAAAAAGTGGCATGCAGATTGCATTTTGCAGTCTAATTTAAAGTTGCTTCTTTGGTTTTTACACCTTCCTATTAATGCTCCTTTTTATGCACCGTATTAATGTCAATTCCCGCTTTATCATATTCCAGGTAAGCACAGCCAGGACCTGATTGTCCCGACAGAAGGGGGCAGGTATGATGTGCATTTGACGAAGAGGCTGCGTTGTGCTGTGTACTGGGAGGAAGTTGACTCTGAAGTGAGGCGCTGCACTTGGTTTTATAAGGGAGAAAAAGACAACAGATATATTCCATACCCTGAAAGTTTCAGTGAAGAGCTGGAGGTAATGTTGGCTTTAGGAATATTACATTTTTCTTTTGGCAAATCTTACTGGGGTGAAACTTGGCAACTCTTGGGAGTAGGAGACTGTGTGATACGGGAAGTTCCTGAACAGGATCTTTTTGAGTTCTCTAGAATTACAGAGTTGGAAGAGACCTAATGTCTGAACGTATCACCTACTATGAACCATCACGAAGCTTAAGATCGTCAGGAGAGGCCCTGCTCTCAATCCCATCACTCTCGCAAACGCGATTGGTGGGGATGAGAGACAGGGCCTTCTTGGCAGTGGCCCCCCGTCTGTGGAACTCCCTCACTAAGGACATCAGGTTAGCTACCTCCCTCCTGTCCTTTAGAAGACAACTGAAGACCTGGCTCTGTGGCCAAGTGTTTAATTAGATGAAGTGACAATAGGAAAGGAATTTGGGTTTGCGACATTGGATTTCCTGGCTTGATTTTTGGTTTTACTGGCACTCTAATATTATTGTTAAATGAATTTATTGGCTGATTTGTATGGTGTTTTAATATGTTTTTACTGTTTTAATTGTATTTTTATGATGTATACATTGCAAGCATTGCTGATGCCTATGTGAGACCGCCCTGAGTCCCCCTTGTAAATAATAATAAATAATATTCCAACCCCTTGCCAAGAAGCAGGAAAATAGCATTCAAAGCACTCCCGACAGATGGCCATCAAGCCTCCAAAGAAGGAGCCTCCACCACACTCCGGGGCAGAGAGTTCCACTGCTGAACAGCTCTCACAGTCCGGAAGTTCTTCCTAATGTTCAGATGGAATCTCTTTTCTTGTAATTTGAGGCCATTGTTCCGCATCCTAGTCTCCAGAGCAGCAGAAAACAAGTTTGCTCCCTCCTCCCTAGGACTTCCTCTCACATATTTATACATGGCCCTCATCATGTCTCCTCTCAGCCTTCTCTTCTTCAGGCTAAACACGTTCAGCTCTTTAAGCCGCTCCTCATAGGGCTTGTTCTCCAGACCTTTGATCATTTTAGTTGCCCTCCTCTGGACACATTCCGGCTTGTCAACATCTTCCTTAATTGTGGTGCCCAGAATTGGACACAGTGTGATTCTAGATGTACACGGTTTCAGTCGAACTTACCTATCTAAACGTATCGCTCCTTATGAACCATCTAGGACAGGGGGCCTCAAACTTTTTAAACAGAGGGCCGGGTCACAGTCCCTCAAACTGTTGGAGGGCTGGATTATAATTTGAAAAAAGCATGAATGAATTCCTATGCACACTGCACATATCTTATTTGTAGTGCAAAAAACACTTAAAAACAATACAATAATTAAAACGAGGAACATTTTTAACAAATATAAACTTATTAGTATTTCAATGAGAAGTGTGGGCCTGGTTTTGGCTGATATGATAAGATTGTTGTTGTTGTTGTTGTGTGCTTTCAAGTAGTTTCAGACTTAGGTTGACCTTGAGCAAGGGCCGGGTAAATGACCTTGGAGGGCCGCATCTGGCCCCCGGGCCTTAGTTTGAGGACCCCTGATCTAGGATGTTAAGATCTTCGCAGATGTGTCTAGTGGAGACGAGAGATGGCCTTCTCAGTGGTCGCCCCTCAACTGTGGAATGCCCTGCCTAGAGATATAAGATCGGTTCCCTCCCTTCTGACTTTTCGAAAAAAAAGGTTAAAACCTGGCTTTGGAACTATTTGATAACACAATGGAATAACAATTTGACATGGAGACGTTCACGATAATGTTTTAAGGCTTTGTACGGTTTTTATATTTTTATACTGTATGCTATTGTTTTTAACAATAAAGACAAGGAAGACTCCAGCAAGACATGGAGCGAGAGTTGCCAGACGTTCAAGCTGGGTTTAGAAAAGGCAGAGGAACGAGAGACCAGATTGCCAATATCCGCTGAATAATGGAGAAAGGCAGGGAGTTTCAGAAAAACATCTATTTCTGCTTCATTGACTATTCTAAAGCCTTTGACTGTGTGGATCATAATAAATTGTGGCAAGTTCTTGGTGGGATGGGCATCCCAAGCCACCTTGTCTCTCTCCTGAGGAATCTGTACAAGGACCAAGTAGCAACAGTCAGAACTGACCACGGACCAACAGACTGGTTCAAGATTGGGAAAGGCGTACGGCAAGGCTGCATACTCTCACCCAACCTTTTTAACTTGTATGCAGAACACATCATGCGAGGATGTGCGGAGCTTGATGAATGCAAAGCTGGGGTAAAAATTGCTGGAAGAAACATTAACAACCTCAGATATGCAGATGACACCACTCTGATGGCCGAAAGCGAGGAGGAGCTGAGGAGCCTTCTAATCAAGGTGAAAGAAGAAAGAGCAAAAGCCGGGTTGCAGCTAAACGTCAAAAAAACCAAGATTATGGCGACAAGAATGATTGACAACTGGAAAATAGAAGGCGAAAATGTGGAGGCCGTGACAGGGTTTGTATTTCTAGGCGCAAAGATGACTGCAGATGCAGACTGTGGCCAGGAAATCAGAAGACGCTTCCTTCTTGGGAGGAGAGCAATGTCCAGTCTCGATAAAATAGTAAAGAGTAGAGACATCAGACTGGCAACAAAGATCCATTGCCTAGTCAAAGCCATGGTATTCCCTGTAGTCACCTACGGATGTGAGAGCTGGACCTTAGGGAAGGCTGAGCGAAGGAAGAGAGGCGCTTTTGAGCTGTGGTGTTGGAGGAAAGTGCTGAGAGTGCCTTGGACTGCGAGAAGATCCAACCAGTCCATCCTCCAGGAAATAAAGCCCGGCTGCTCACTGGAGGAAGGATACTAGAGACAAAGTGGAAGTCCTTTGGCCACATCATGAGGAGACAGCAAAGCCTAGAGAAGACAATGATGCTGGGGAAAGTGGAAGGCAAAAAGGAAGAGGGGCCGACCAAGGGCAAGATGGATGGATGGCATCCTTGAAGTGACTGGACTGACCTTGAAGGAGCTGGGGGTGGTGACGGCCGACAGGGAGCTCTGGCGTGGGCTGGTCCATGAGGTCACGAAGAGTCGGAGACGACTGAACAAATGAACAACAACAATTGTTTTTAACAAAATTTCTTGATTGTTTTTACTTGTTATAATTGTTGAGGCATCGAATTGTTGCCAATTTGCGAACTGCTCCGAGTTGCCTCTGGACTGAGAGGGTGGTATATAAATATAAGTAAGTAAGTAAGTAAGTAAGTAAATGTGGTCTAACCAAGGCAGAATAGAAGGGTAGCATGACTTCCCTGGATCTAGACACTAGTCTTCTATCTATTGATCCCACTGGCTTTTTAAGCTGCCGCATGACATTCCTGGCTCATGTTGAACTTGTTGTCCACAAGGACCCCAAGATCTTTTTCACACGTACTGCTCTCGAGCCAGGCATCGTCCCCCATTCTGTATCTTTGCATTTCATTTTTCTGCCTAAGTGGAGTATCTTGCATTTGTCCCTGTTGAACTTCTTTGTGTTAGTTTTGGCCCATCATCTTTCTAATCTGTTAAGATCGTTTTGAATTCTGCTCCTGTCTTCTGGAGTAGTCTGCTGGGGAAAGTAGAAGGAAAAAGGAAGAGGGGCCGACCAAGGGCAAGATGGATGGATGGCATCCTTGAAGTGACTGGACTGACCTTGAAGGTGCTGGAGGTGGTGACGGCCAACAGGGAGCTCTGGGGTGCGCTGGTCCATGAGGTCACAAAGAGTCAGAGACGACTGAATGAATGAACAACAACTTCTGGAGTATTGGCTACCCATCTAGGAATAATGGCAGTCTGGACTGTTGCAGCTTGGCTCCCCATGGATTTTAAGAACCATCTCTGACTTTTCAAGATAGCCTGCAGCCCTGTTTCTGACCTCTGTTCCTATCTTGGGTGTGGAACAGCATACTCAAAACAAAGAATATCCCTGTGTTGTGTTGGATCCACCTTTAGAGCAATCTTTGTGGCAATCTGCCCAAAAGTAGCTTCATGTTACACCTCCCTCTTGCGCTGTCTGTTTTGTCCTTTTCTCCTTGAGCAGCAGATATCTTATTACTGTTAGATTTAGGTTGAATAATAATAATAATAATAATAATAATAATAATAATACTAGCTGTCCCCTGCCACGCATTGCTGTGGCCCGGTCTGTTGATCTGGAAAATAAAGTAATGAGAAAGTGTTGGTTTTTAATATATGTAATTTCTTTATGCTTGTGGGTAAACAGTATTTCTTGCTGTTTCTTTGTCAGTGTGTGTGAATCATATCTATCTATCTATCTTATCTATCTATATATCTATATTTATTTATTTATTTATTTACTGTGCTTATATACCGCAATTCTCAGCCCTTCAGGGCGACTCATTGCGGTGTATATATCTATATATCTATATCTATCTATGGCTGGATGGCTCTTTGTCAGGAGGACTTTGATTAAGTTTTCTTGCCCTGATGAAGGGAGTTGGACTGGATAGCCTTGAGTAATTTCTGATGGTCATGGGGTTCTGTGTGGGAAGTTTGCCCCGATTCTGTTGTTTGCGTGGTTCAGAATGCTCTTTATAGGTGAACTGTGAATCCCAGTGACTACAACTCCCAAATGTCAAGAACTATTTTCCCCAAACTCCCTCTGTGTTCATATTTGGGCGTATTGAGTGCTTGTGCCAGCTTTGGTCCAGATCCATCATTGTTTGAGTCCACAGTGCTCTCTGGATGTAGGTGAACTACAACTCCCAAATTCAAGGTCAATGTCCACCAAACCCTTCCAATATTTTCTGTTGGTCATGGGAGTTCTGTGTGCCAAGTTTGGTTCAGTTCCATCGTTGATGGAGTTCAGAATACTCTTCGCCATCGCCCCCTACAAACGAAACGAGTTTAGAACCAAAAATAAAGTAATGAGAAATTTTGGGCAAGAAGGATGCCAGGAAAAAGAGGAGGGAGGGGGGAATGTGGGATATGCCAGCTGGAAGGAAGGAAGGAAGGAAGGAAGGAAGGAAGGAAGGAAGGAAGGAAGGAAGGAAGGAAGGAAGCCCAGTGCAGCCCAGAGTGAGGCAAGAAGAAGCATGAGGAAAGAAAATAATTACGAAATAATTATGAAAATTGGAAAAATTGTTTCGATTCTTAATTACTCCTCACGCTATTCCTGCATGGCTCGATATCGGATCGTAAGCTAATTTAAATACAAATGAATAACGAAATTACGAACTGGATCACCCAAGCCTAATATATAGATGATGATTATATTATACTTACATTATTATAATATGAGGAATTAAAAATCAAACTGCAAAGACTCTGGCACCATCCAGTAAAGGTGGTCCCAGTGGTGATTGGCACACTGGGTACAGTGCCTAAAGACCTTGGCCTGCACTTAAACACAATCGGCGCTGGCAAAATTATCATCTGCCAGCTGCAAAAGGCCACCTTACTGGGATCTGCACATTTTATTTGCCGATACATCACACAGTTCTAGACATCGCAGAGATTAAGATCCTCCGGGGAGGCCCTGCTTTCCATCCCGCCATTGTCACAGGCACGATTGGTGGGGACGAGAGACAGGGCCTTCTCGGTGATTGCACCCCAGCTATAGAACTATAGCTATAGAACTTTCTGGTGAGATCAGGTCGGTCCCCTCCCTCCTGTCCTTTAGAAGGATGGTTAAAAACTTGGCTGTGAGACCAAGCTTTCGGGACAGGGCAATAAAGCAGCAATAGGAAGATTACCAGGCTAATTAGATTTGACGTGGATGATTAGGATGGTTTTAAATAGTGTATTTTAATATTTTGATTAATGTTTTTAAGGTTTATGTATATAAGAATTTGTGTCCTGGCATTGAATGTTTGCTGTATATATGCTGTGCTCTGCCCTGAGTCCCCTTCAGGGTGAGAAGGGCGGAATATCAATGTTGGTGGAGTGTATAAGGAGAGCTATTGAGAAGTTTGCTGGGACTTTATTAGCTTGGTACTTGACTTTCTAATACATTTCCCCTTTTTCTTCTTTTCAGGATGCTTACATGATCTGTGTGACCTTAGATGAGTGGAAAAAGAAACTGGAATCTCCAACAAGAGAAGTAATAATATTGCATAACCCAAAGGTAAGGCTTCCAAAGAAGTAGTTCTGTTAGGCTTTTGGAGCATGAAATGTCCAACGACATTGGAAAATGTCCAAGTTTGCACGCATCTTCTATTCTGACTAGTTTTCTTTGGTGGCTTGTTTTTAGCTGATGGTACATTACCATCCGGTGGCAACCACAGATGACTGGGGCGCAAGCCCAACAGAACAAGGCCGACCAAGGACAGTGAAGCGAGGAGTGGAAAACATTTCTGTCGATATCCCAAATGGTAACTAAATGTTTTCTGCTTGCTAAATTCACTTTGTATCTGTATGCTTTGTTTGTTTGGTATTTCTGTAGATATCCCAAATGGTAACTAAATGTTTTCTGCTTGCTAAATTCATTTTGTATCTGAATATTGTGGAATATTGTGTCCAATTTTGGGCACCACAACTGAAGACAGATATTGACAAGCTGGAATGTGTCCAGAGGAGGGCGACTCAAATGATCAAGGGTCTGGAGAACAAGCCCTACGAGGAGCGGCTTAAAGAGCTGGGCATGTTTATTTATTTATTTAAAAGTTTTGTATACCGACCTTCTCACCTCTCTTGAGGGACTCAGACCGGTTTCCAACCATAATATCACATACAGTCAATAAAACATCATACTTCATATTGCAGTAAAACATTAAAACAGCAAAACAGCAATTACACTCAATAAATACAATGGTCAGTCGTCCCACTAAAATTGATGTTCATCATCCTCCATTCATATCTCAGGGTGTTGGCTCACTTGTCGAATGCCTGTCTCCATAACCACGTCTTCTCCTGCTTCCTGAATGTCAGGATAGAAGGGGCGGTTCTGATCTCCGGTGGGAGAGAGTTCCAGAGTCGAGGGGCCACCACTGAGAAGGCCCTGTCCCTCATCCCCATCAGATGCGCTTGTGGGACCGAGAGCAGGGCCACTCCAGACGATCTTAATAATCTTGATGGTTCATAGGGGAGAATACGTTCGGAGAAGTAAACAGGGCCGGAGTTGTTTAGGGCTTTATAGGTTAACACCAGCACTTTGAATTGTGCTTGGAAGCTAATTGGCAGCCAGTGGAGCTGGTGTAACAGCGGAGTGGTGTGCTCCCTGTACCCAGCACCTGTTAGTAGTCTGGCTGCCGAGCGTTGGACTAACTGCAGCTTCCGGGCAGTCTTCAGAGGCAACCCCACGTAGAGAGCGTTGCAGTAATCCAAACGGGATGTAACCAAAGTGTGGACCACCATGGCCTGAAGACGAGAAGGCTGAGAAGAGACATGATAGCCATGTATAAATATGTGAGAGGAAGCCACAGGGAGGAGGGAGCAAGCTTGTTTTCTGCTGCCTTGGAGAATAGGATGCGGAAAAAAGGCTTTCAAATTACAAGAAAAAAGAGATTCCATCTGAACATGAGGAAGAACTTCCTGACTGTGAGAGCCGTTCAGCAGTGGAACTCTCTGCCCCAGAGTGTGGTGGAGGCTCCTTCTTTGGAAGCTTTTAAACAGAGGCTGGATGGTCATCTGTCAGGGGTGCTTTAAATGCAATTTTCCTGCTTCTTGGCAGGGGGTTGGACTGGATGGCCCATGAGGTCTCTTCCAGCTCCATGAGTCTTATCATTATATCTGTATGTTTTGTTCGTTTGATTTTAGTTTACAAAGAAATATTTGGTTAACCTTTATACCGTTGGATGAAACAATTTATTTATTATTTTAGAGTAATGTTTATTTCTGTCATGTCACACAGAAATACATCCAAAGGTAGGCATTTTATAACACTGTTGGCTAGTGAGCTGTAAACAACAACTCCAGATTTCAAACAACAGCTATTTTTTCTTCTTAAAAGACAAACATGAAAACAAAGAGCTGAGACAAAAAAATATTGATTACATGTTCTCTAAACAGGGAAGCTTGACATTAACTCAAAATAAACATGCTACCTCATGGGTAAGTATGTTTTACTGAATCAGCGGCTGAGTATTTTATAATTTACTTGATATTGTGTCCACAGATTTTGACCTAGATATGGGACATTTTAATACTCAGCAATGTGCTGGAGTATTGGGATCAGAAAATACTCACTTTCTGTATGTCTGCATGAGAATGAAAATAGACATGGGAATGTGATTAAAATGATCAGGAAGATTGGTCCTTAAGCCCCTTTTAACATGTATATCAAACCTGAACTTCTTAAAGATGTTCTTGAAGGCTTTAAGGGCCAGAATCACTGAGTTGCTGTGAAGGAATGTGTCAAAAGGGATCCTCTCACCTCTGCAGGAGTCTACCGTATACCATGCAGCTGTGGACAAGTCTACATAGGGACCACCAAACGCAGCATTGCCCAAACACGAATCAAGGAACATGAAAGGCACTGCAGACTACTTCAACCAGAGAAGTCAGCCATAGCAGAGCACCTGAGGAACCAACCTGGACACAGCATATTATTTGAGAACACAGAAATGCTGGACCACTCTCACAACCACCATGTCAGACTACACAGAGAAGCCATTGAAATCCACAAGCATGTGGACAATTTCAACAGAAAGGAGGAAACCATGAAAAGAAACAAAATCTGGCTATCAGTATTTAAAAACTCTAAAATCAGGACAATAAATAAAGATCAACACTCAAAAAACAGGGGAATTCCACACAGGAAACAATCAGGGGCAGCTAACACCTCCCAACAAAGGATTTCCCCTCCCAGGCAGGAAGCAGCCAGGCTTTGAAGCTGCAAGACCATTCAGTGCTAATCAAGGTGGCCAATTGCAACATTCACACTTGCCTCAAGCAGACAAGAGTTCTTTCTCCCACCCTGGACTTTCCACAGATATATAAACCTCACTTGCCTAGTTTTCAACAGACCTCACAACCTCTGAGGATGCCTGTCATAGATGTGGGTGAAATGTCAGGTGAGAATGCTTCTGGAACATGGCCAGACAGCCCAGAAAACTCACAGCAACCCATTCTAAAGATGTTAGACTAAAATTGAAGGCTGTATGGAATCTGAGTACTCAAATATTTGACCTAGATACTCAGATATTTGATCTAGAATTAGTGCAGCATCCATATACTTTTTGGGAGTGGGATGGGAAACTTTAGAAAAAACATATAACCCATAATTTTATATATATCACACGCTTCTAGAAATATTGTGCGAATCTGATGTATTTTTCCTTCTTTGTTTCAGGGGAACCTTTGCAAATAGATCACTTAGTGTTTGTAGTTCACGGAATTGGACCAGCCTGTGATATCCGATTCCGAAGCATTGTCCAATGTGGTAAGTCCATAGGAAAAATAAGTTGCTTCTGAAGGAATTGTTCCATCCAATAATATGCTAACATCATGATGCCCAAATGTTATGGCCCACTTTGTGAGATGATAAAATGTTTGAATCGTGCAGCAGTATAAATGTTCTGAGGTTCAAATAATGCTTGCCACTGTTTATACATATGAGTTATGCCTTTTGATAAACATGTAAGCTTAGTGAATTCTCCTGGAAGGAAAAAAAATGCTGGCATGCTTCTGATTAAATCTCTTCCAATCCCCATCCGCCCACCAAAAACAGAAAAGCTTTCTTAGTTGTGTGGAATGTCTTTCCTTTGGAGATGCCAATTTTGGGTTCTTTCTGATGGCAAAACAAAACATGTTTTTTTATTATCACCTTCAGTGATGAATTTATTTCAAAATGTGCAAGCACATGATTTGGACTGTTGTTGCTTTTAGGTGTTGATGATTTGTTTAATCTTTTTTATCTTGTTTAAACTATTTGCGGTTTTATTCCGGAGGCGTTTTAAAGCATTTATAGTGTGCCCCACCCTGTGATTCCCATGATAAAGGGCAGGATGGAAGTGTTTTAGTTAATGAAGCCATAAATAAAGCTGTCACATCAGACCTGGGATTGAGGGGGTGGAATTTGTCTCTTTCCCCAGTGGGAATTATCTTCCCTGGTTGTAGTCTCCTTCTAAATAGCTAAGATGCTTGCGGGGGGGGGGGGGGTGGGGGGGTGGTGGTGGTGGTGGATTACAGATTGGGCTCTCTTCTCAGGCCCTCCTCTCTCACCATCCTATCCTTCTCTCTTTCCTCTTCCTCCCTCCCTCTCTTACCTCCCTTTTTCTCCCTCTTTCCTCCCTTTCTCTTTCCACCTCCTTCCCTCCTCCCTCTTCTCTTCCTTCTCTCCTCCCCTCTCTCTCCCTTTCTTCCCTCTCTCCTCTCTCCTCCCTCCTTCCTTCACCCTTTTCCCCTCCCTCCCTCCTCCTCCCTCTCTCCTTCCTTCCTTCCTTCTTCTCTTTCCTCCTCCCTTCCTCCCTCTTTCTCCCTCCATTCCCTTTCACCCCTTTGTCCTTCCTTCTCTTCTTTCCTTTCTCCTTCCTTCTTCTTCCCTCCCTCCCTTCTCTCTTTGCTCTCTCCCCCTTTCTCCCTCCATTTCCTTCCTCTTTTCCTTCCTTCCTTCCTCTTTCCTTTCCTTCTTTCTTTCCTTCCCTCCTCCTTCTCTCTTTCCTCTCTCCCCTTTCTCCCTCCATTCCCTTCCACCCTTTCTCTCTTCCTCTTTCTCTTTCCTTTCTCCCTTCTTCTTTCCTTCCTTCTTCCTCCCTCTTTCTTCCCTCTCTCCCTCCTTCTCCCTCCCTCCATTCCCTTTCACCTTTTTCTCTCCTCCCTCCCTCCTCCCTCCTCCCTCTCCCTCCTTCTCCTCCCTTCCTTCCTCTCTCTTTCCTCCCTCCCTTCCTCCCTTTCCCTCTTCCCTTTCCCTTTGTCCTTCCTTTCTCTTTCCTTTCTCCCTTCCTTCTTTCCTTCCCTCCCTCCCTTCTCTCTTTCTCTTCCCCCTTTCTCCCCTTCCCTCTCTCCCTCTTTGTCCTTCCTTCCTTCTCTCTCCTTTCCCTTCCTTCTTTCCTTCCCTCCTCCTTCTCTCTTTCCTTCTCTCCCCCTTTCCCTCCATTCCCTTTCACCCTTTGTCCTTCCTTCCTTCTCTCTTTCCTTTCTCCCTTCCTTCTTTCCTTCCCTCCCTCCCCTCCCTTTTCCTCTCTCCCCTTCTCCCTCCATTCCTCTCTCCCCTTTTCCTTCCTTCTTCTCTTTCCTTTCTCCCTTCCTTCTTTCTTCCTTCTTCCTCCTCCTTTTCTTCCTCTTCCCTCTTCTCCCTCCCTCCATTCCCTTTCACCTTTTCCTTCCTTCCTTCCCTTCCTCTTTCCTTTCTCCCTTCCTTCCTCCCTCCCTTCCTTCCTCCTCCCTCCTTCCTTCCTTCCTTCCTCCTTCCCCTCCCTCCCTCCCTCCCTTCCTTCCTTCCTTCCTCCCTTCCTTCCCTCCTCCCTCCCTCCCCTCCCTTCCCTTCCCTCCCCTTCCTTCTGTCCCTCTTCCTTCCCTCTTTCCTTCTTCCTCCTTCTCCTTCCCTTCTTCCCTTCCCTTCCCCCTTCCTTCCTTTCTTCCTCCTCTCTTTCTCCTCTCCCTCCCTTCCTTTTCCTTTCTCCCTTCCTTCCTTCCCTTCCATTTTCCTTCCTTCTCTCAATGCCTAGCCTGGCCTTCGATGTGGCCCAGTTACTCCTTATTTCAGAACTGAAATTCTCTTGCAGTCAACGACTTCCGCAACGTTTCCTTGAGCATGCTGCCTGCGCACTTCAAGAAAGCCCAGGAGCAGCAACAGATCGGCCGCGTAGAATTCCTCCCTGTGAACTGGCACAGTACTTTACATACTGGGGTGGATGTGTAAGTAAATCTCATTAATCCTTCAGTGTTTATGTGTTTATATATTTGTGTATCTGTGTATATATGTGTGTTTGCATATATATGGGTGTATATATATGTGTGCGTGTGCATATGTATGTAGATGTGTATATATGTGTGTTTATATGTGTATGTGTATATTGTGCATATGTGTGTGCTTGTCTATATGCATATTTGTCTGTATGTATGTATGTGTGCATGTATATATTTGTGTGTGCATGTGTATATGTATATATGCGTGTGTATGTAGATGTATGTGTGTGTGTATATTTGTGTGTGTTTGGGTATATATATACATATATGTAAATATGTGTGCATGTGTATATGTATATGTGTGTGTGTGTGTATGTATGTATGTATGTGTGTGTGTGCATATATATATATATATATATATATATATATATATGGTGTATTTTGGGGTTTTTTAAGTCCGTTCTGCTGGGTTTTTGTTTTGTTTTGTATTTTTAAGGGTAATGAACACTTGTTGGACTGTTAGGTGTATTGTGTCAAAATTTGGTGTCGATTCATCCAGTGACTTCTGAGTTACGTTAATCCCACAAATGAACATTACATTTTTATTTATATAGATAATAATAATAAAACTTTCTTATATTTCGTGCCTATCTCCCCGAGGGGACTCAGGGTGGTTAATGTAATTATACAAATAGATCCCTCACCATCCTGCTCTGTTCACCTGACATAACCTAGTGCCACACATCTTCTTGCCCTTGATCCCTCTTCATCCATCGTGTCCCCATTCCCCACAATTCCTTTCCCATTGCACTGCATTTGCCTTTGAGAGGAGAGAGGCAGACGGTGATCCTCCGAGCAAAGCAACAGCCGAGTGCCAGATGCGAGAGTCAATACAAAGTATAAAACAAAGATAAGATAAATAAAAAATGAAGAATTAACATTCAACACTGTTGCGTTTCCAAGCTGGTGAAGTGCAGCTCTTGATCCCTGCTCTTCCGTTTATTTGCACAAGATATGACTCTAATTACAAAGGACGTTTGTAACAAACCCTCTTCTTGGCAAACTTTTTGTTGAGTACTTTCGGGACCTGTTTTCTCCATATACTTCCATATAAGCCAGTCGTTTCCAACCTTTTTTTTGTCCTTTTTTTTGGACTATGTGATGTATTTTCGAATGATGCAAGCAGATCCAAGTCAGATGGCCTTTTGCAGCTGACAGATTGTGACTTTGTCAATGTTTATGGTTTCCAAATGCTGACTGAGATCTTTTGGCACGGCACCCAGTGCGCCCATGACCACTGGAACCACCTGGACTGGTTTATGCCAGAGCTTTTGCAGTTCGATTTTGAGGTCCTGATAGTGGCTGAGTTTTTCCTGTTGTTTTTCCTCAATGCGACTGTCACCTGGTATGGCGACATCAATCATCCAGACTTTTTTCTTTTCCACAATCGTGATGTCTGGTGTATTGTGTTCCAAAACTTTGTCAGTCTGGATCCAAAAGTCCCACAGTATTTCCCACGACTTTTGCGGGTTTATGATCCCACCAATTCTTTACTGCTGGCAGGTGGTCCTTGTGACATAAGTTCCAGTGAATCATCTGGGCCACAGAGTTGTGTCTTTGTTTGTAGTCTTCTGTGCCATTTTCTTGCAACAGCTGAGGATATGATCCATGGTTTCATCAGCTTCCTTGCACAGCCTGCATATTATTGTTGTTGTTGTTGTTGTTATTATTTGAAACACAACAAGATGAGTCCACAGGAGACAAGATTACTCTGCCGGCTGATAGGAATTGTGGGAGTTGCAGTCCAAAACACCTGGAGGGCCGAAGTTTGCCAATGCCTGCTCCAGAGCCTCCAAAGTGGTTTGGTTATCAGCTTCAGTGAATGTTGCCCACAGAAATGTGCTTCAGGACCTAGAACTTCCTATAAATATTATTTCAGACAAAAATTAGCATTTTTAATTCAGAGGTTTTCACTTTCATGTGGCCCTGTGCCTCTAACTCCCAACGCATGTTGAGAAGTGGCTGTCCTGAACTTTTCCTTCCTTTCTTCGCTTTGCCTTCAGAGACCTGGAGAGAATCACTTTGCCCAGCATCAATCGCTTGCGCCACTTCATCAACGATACCATCCTGGACGTTTTCTTCTACAATAGTGCCACCTACTGCCAAACCATCGTGGACACCGTTGCTTCGGAAATGAACCGAATCTACTTGCTTTTCTTGGAGCGGAATCCTGATTTTCAAGGGGGAGTCTCAATAGCAGGTCACAGTTTAGGTAACAATGTTTTTTCCTATTTTGATGCATTTCGAACACATTCAAAATTCCTGTTCCTATTATATATCATATTTTATTTGGGACCGCATTTCTGTTTACGAACCCACGCGATCTCTTTGATCATCTGGAGAGGCCCTGCTCTCGCTCCCTCCTCCTTCGCAGGCGCAATTGGTGGGGACGAGAGAGGGCCTTCTCTATGGTGGCCTCCTGACTCTGGAACTCACTCCCTAAAGAGATCAGAAAAGCCCCCACTTTGGCAGTCTTTAGGAGGAGCTTGAAAACGTGGCTGTTCCAGTGTGCCTTCCCTGAATGAAGGAAATAATGCCCGATCGGACCAATTTCCTTCTATATGTCCTCTGAAGCACTTTATCCGTTGGATTGATCTCCCTACATCACTATCTAATATCCCCATGCCTAGACATATCCTACTCTGTACATGCCCAGGATTTTAAAATTTTAATCTATTACATCTGGCCCTGCCATAGTGTTTTCCTTTTTTGTGTGTGTTATTGCTTATATGTTTAGCTATATTGTTTATATTGTTTTATTTGCTTGCTTGCTTTGTTGATGCACTGTTGTATTTGTATTTGACGGGCTTGGCCTCATGTAAGCCGCCTCGAGTCCCTTCGGGGAGATGGTGGTGGGATATAAATAAAGTTTTATTATTATTTATTCATTATTTCTATCTGTATTTATTCTTCTGGTGTAAGAGAATTGGCTGTCTGCAAGGACGTTGCCCACAGAAGGCCCGGATATTTTACCATCCTGTGGTCGCATGGGAAGCTGGAGCTGACAGATGGGAGCTCACCCCGCTCCACGGATTCAAACTGCCAACCTTTCATTCTGCAGTCCTGCCAGCACAAGAGTTTAACTTAGGGGTCCTCAAACTAAGACCCGGGGGCCAGATGCAGCCCTCCAAGGTCATTTACCCGGCCCTCGCTCAAGGTCAACCTAAATCTGAAATGACTTGAAAGCACACAACAACAATAACAATCCTATCTCAACAGCCAAAAGAAGGCCCACACTTCCCATTGAAATACTAATAAGTTTATATTTGCTAAAATTGTTCTTCATTTTTATCATTGTATTGTTTTTAAGTGGTTTTGCATTACAAATAAGATACGTGCAGTGTGCATAGGAATTAATTCATTTTTTTTCAAATTATAATCTGGCCCTTCAACAGTTTGAGGGGCTGTGACCTGGCCCTCTGTTTAAAAAGTTTGAGGACCCCTGGTTTAACTCATTGCGTCACCAGGGGCTCCTTTTGGACTGCTGAACAAAAAGTCAACGGTTTGAATCCAGAGAGTGTGATGAGCTCCCATCTGTCAGCTCCAGCTTCCTACACAAAGAAATGACACGGAAAAAATAATAATCTGTATTTATTCTGATAGTTGGGGAGCAACGCAGACAAAATTGCCTGTACTTGAAAAACGTAGAAATGTGGCTGGCCATGTTATCTTCTTCCCTTTATGTTTTTAACATCTTTATTGATTATGTTAAATTATGTTTTTTATTGTTTGTGTTTTGGTTTGCGTTTGGCCATTCTTTATTGTAATTGTTGTTCGGGCTTGGCCCCATGTAAGCCGCTCCGAGTCCCCATTGGGGAGATGGGGCAGGGTACAAAGAAAGTTTATTATTTATTATTATTATTATTATTATTATTATTATTATTATTATTGAAGGGAAGTCTTAGGAAACACAATTTCTTCCTATTGGTCTCCCTCAACTAATAATAAGCTTATCATCTGCATTTCTTTTTTGGAAAAAAAATCCAGAACAAAATATTATATCAAGAGTCACAAAACTACATATTAATAAAAGAGTAATACTAAAAAGGGGGTAGGGAAGATTATTGCATCGACCCTCAATAGCATATTCATGGTCTTCTTTTAGGCATTGCATCCTGTTAATTGTACTCTTTCCTTAGGTAAAGGTAAAGGTAGTCCCCTGACATTAAGTCCAGTCATATCTGACTCTGGGGTGTGGTGCTCATATCCATTTCTAAGCCGAAGAGCCAGCGTTATCCGTAGACACCTCCAAGGTCATGTGGCTGGCATGACTGCATGGAGCGCCGTTACCTTTCCACCGGAGCGGTACCTATTGATCTACTCACATTTGCATGTTTTCTTTCCTTAGGATCACTGATATTGTTTGATCTTCTCACAAATCAAAAATGCACACTGGATGGAGAGGAAAGGAAAAATGAGGTATGTGTTTGCATCTCAAGCAATTTCATCATTTGAAGAGGTTTTTTAAAATGATATGGTATCACCCAAACAAGTGTGATTTGTCTGTGAAAGCTTATACTACAAGCTTCATTTTCTCACTTGGGTTTCCTCAGGTGCTATAAGAGCCCTTTGCATAAAACGAGATGGAATGGGAATATTTTCCTACTTCTACTTCAATATTATATTGTCTTACGTTGTTTGAAAAACAAACGCCCCTTTCATTTAAAAGCTGTATATATGTGTGGCGATTGTCTTTGCAGATTCTAGCAACCACTCCGGAAGAAAGTAAATCCACAAAGGACATCTTAACCGAACTTGAGCTTTCTGAATATTGCTCTGTATTTGAGAAAGAAGAAGTGGACAGGCAAGCGCTGGTAAATTAGATGTGAAAAGGGGTCCTTAGCTTAGATGTGTGTGCTTTGATGGTTGTTTATTATTTTAGCATCAAGGGTCCCTCATACAGATAAAGTTTGGATTCACAGTTATAAGGAGCACAGATTTATTTGTTCAGGGTTTGTTTTGCATCCTCTTAGCCTATATATTATTATTATTATTATTATTATTATCTTTATTTATACCCCGCAAAATCTCCTGAAGAACTCGATGCGGCTTACAATGGCCAAGGCCGCCGACAACACAACATACAATACACAATAAACTCATATAAGCAAATAATAAACCATCAAGCAAGACAATAAGACAATAAACAATAACATCATAAACTGACTGACTCATACTAATGTTAGTAAGCCCATGCTTGTTATAAACAAAATTTATTTATTTATGACATTTATATGCAGCCCTTCTCACCCCAAAGACTCAGAGTGGCTTACAAGATACACACACACACACGTACATACAATATATTATTATTAGCATAGTACAATAACAGTATTATATATTACTACCATTATATTTTAATATTATTAGTAATATTGCATGTAATATAAAATATATAATTATAATATTGTTTTATTATTAGTATATTAGTATACATATGATTGTATACACATATGATATGTATAATATTATATGTATATATATAATATTTCATTGCATTATATTATATCATTAGCTTATATATTATTATTATTATAATTTATTTATAGACAGCTCTCTCTTCCCAAGGGAACTCAGAGTGGTTTACATACAAATATTCAATGCTGTAGTCAACAAAGACAAACAAATCAAAGCAATGCAAACATCAATATAACTACTAAACATTACATGTAATATAAATATATATAAATATAATATATTATTATTACTATTGTATTAAAGTATATTATAAATATTATATGTATATACAATATATTATATTACATTACATTATATTATATTTTGTTGTTCATTTGTTCAATTGTTTCCTACTCTTTGTGACCTCATGGACCAATAATAATATATTACATTATTAGCTTATATTGTTGTTGTTGTTATTATTATTATTATTATTATACTTTATTTATAGACGGCTCTCTCTTCCCAAGGGAACTCAGAGTGATTTACATACAAAAAAGGCAAATATTCAATGCTGTAGTCAACAAAGACAAACAAATCAAAGCAATGCAAACAACATCAAACATTACATGTAATATAAAATATATAAATATAATATATTATTATTACTATTGTATTAAATTATAATATTATAAATATATGCATATACAAAATATATTATATTATATTATATATCATCCTATTTCTCCTGTTCTTCTTCATTGTAGTTCCTTACTATCCTAAATATGCCACTTCATATATCTGTTCTAAATGGCTTTATATTTTTTGTTATCTTCTGTATTGAGTGGGTTTAGAAAATAATAATAATAATAATAATAATAATAATAATAATAATAATAATAATAATATCCCTGAGGAGTTTGCCCGTTTTTTGCATATGTGAAAAAAGTTGTGAGGTCTGTTGGCCGCCCCTTGTTGTGCACTCAGACTGTGAAACTCCCAACTCAAATCTTGCACAATGGTAATGCAGATAAGATGCATTTGGATAAGTGTTGTCAAAGGCTTTCGTAGCCGGAATCACTGGGCTGCAGTGAGTTTTCCGAGCTGTATGGCCATGTTCCAGAAGCATTCTTTCCTGATGTTTTGCCCACATCTATGGCAGGCATCCTCAGAAGTTGTGAGGTCTGTTGGCCGCCCCGAGTCCCCATTGGGGAGATGGTGGCGGGGTATAAATAAAGATTATTATTATTATTATTATTATTATTATTATTATTATTATTACTTTTGTCTCAATGAACTAGAATTTTCCACAAATGTATTTCCTTTAAATCACTGTTTATGATAAAACTGCAGCTCATACGTACCTGGGTGTGGGATTTATTTTATTTGTTTTACTGTGCAGGCGTTGTGTACAGAAAAAGAACTCAAAGACATGGGAATTCCGTTAGGACCCCGGATGAAAATCCTACATTATTTACGGAATAAGAACAGCAACATTTCTGTAAGCATTAAAATAGCATAATATGTACCTTCCGTACCCAATATTGGCTTTTAACATCTTTGCATTATCTAGTAATGCAAGCACAGCTGGAGCATCCTGTCCTATCCTTGGATTTCCTTTCCTCCCATCTTTTGCAATAAGGTCTTTCTGTCTTATCTTGCCACTCATTGCCATAAAACAGCAGAATGTCGTAGTATCTGAACTTTGTGATGGATGAATGGCACTTCGAGCAGACAGGATATGAGGATTTAAAGATCGAACTGCAAAGACTCTGGCACAAGCCAGTAAAGGTGGTCCCAGTGGTGATCGGCACACTGGGTGCAGTCCCTAAAGACCTTGGCCTGCACTTAAACACAATCAGTGCTGACAAGATTACCATCTGCCAGCTGCAAAAGGCCACTTTACTGGGATCTGCACACATTATTCGCTGATACATCACACAGTCCTAGGCACTTGGGAAGTGTCCGACACGTGATCCAATTCAACAGCCAGTAGAGTGTCTGCTGTAGACTCATCTTGTTGTGTTTCAAATAATAATAATAATAATTATAATAATTATAATAATTATTTATTTATTTATATGCCACTCTTCTCACCCCAAAGTTGACTCAGAGCGACTCACAAGATGTATATACACACATTATATTATTAGCTTAGTACAATATCAGTATTAAATATTACTATATTGTACTATACCATTATATTTTAATATTATTAGTAATATTACATGTAATATAAATATATAATTATAATATAATGCTAATGTGTTTAATTTTGTACAATATATTATATTATATTATTAGCTTATATATTATTATTATTTTACACACAAAAGCACAGTATGTCACAGCAAACGAGATCTATATGCTGGATTTCGTATCACAAAATCGCAAGTCGAACCCTCCCCAAGCGTCTAGGACTGTGTGATGTATTTTCAAATCCAAGTAAGGTGGCCTTTTGCAGTTGAGAGATCGTTATTATTATTATTATTATTATTATTATTATTATTATTTTACTGACACAAAAACACAGTATGTCACACCAAACGAGATCTATATGCTGGACTCAGAGCGGCTTACAAGATATATATACATACAATATATTATATTATTAGTATAGTACAATGTCAGTATTAAATATTACTATATCGTACTATGATTTGTTAATTGTTGTGGATTGATGTTGTTGATCCTGTTTGTGGCATTTGTTGCGTTTTAATTGCACTGACATTGTTTGATAATTTGTACCATGTAAACCGCATTGAGTCGCCTGTTTGGGCTGAAAAATGCGGTATAGAAATAAAGCAAATAAATAATAAATAAATATACCATTATATTGTAATATTATTAGTAATATTACATGTAATATAAAATATATAATTATAATATTGTTTTAATATTAGTATAGTATATTGTATATACATATAATATTTATAATATTATAAATAATATTATTTATAATATTATAAATATTATATGTATATACGATATATTACATTGCATTATATTATATTATTATTATTATTATTTTACTGACACAAAAACACAGTATGTCACAGCAAACGAGATCTATATGCTGGACTCAGAGCGGCTTACAAGATCTATATACATACAATATATTATATTATTAGCATAGTACAATATTAAATATTACTATATTGTAATATACCATTATATTGTAATATTATTAGTAATATTACGTGTAATATAAAATATATAATTATAATATTGTTTTATTATTAATATATTAGTATAGTATATTGTATACAGGAAAAGGTAAAGGTAGTCCTCTGACATTAAGTCCAGTCATGTCTGACTCTGGGGTGTGGTGCTCATCTCTATTTCTAAGTCAAAGAGCCGGCGTTGTCCGTAGATACCTCCAAGGTCATGTGGCTGGCATGACTGCATATACATATAATATTTATAATATTGTAAATAATATTATTTATAATATTATAAATATATTATAAATAATATTATAAATATTATATGTATATACAATATATTACTTTGCATTATATTATATCATTAGCTTATATTATTATTATTAATAATAATTATTTATTTAGAGACTGCTCTCTCTTCCCAAGGGAATTCAGAGTGGTTACATATAAAAAGGCAAACATTCAGTGCTGTAGTCAACAATGACAAAGAAGTCAAAGCAATGCAAACAACATCAATAGACTTATAACTACTAAACACCAGCAATAATATAAAATAATGACGAGAAATACTAATATTTAAATAAACACAGTTACACTAAAAACACAGTGTCCTGGAGAGTTAAAACGACTAAGATGCATAGGAAAATGTCAAAAAATGTAGTTTAACATCTGGGTGGTTGTGTTTCCCGATCGCTGTTTTATGAGATAAGACTTGCAATGAGGCTGGTTGTTGTACCAATCGTATGTTTTCAAAAGGAAGCTCAAGGCGAGAGGCTGTTGATGTTTTCTTTGTTGCAGAATCTTAAAGGGCAGAAACCTGCAGCTTCTGGGGAAAGTGAAGATGCCAAGCAGGAGGCACCTGTAAAACCCACAAATACGGGGACAGGTTGCCGACGTCTGGATGTAATGACAGGGCAGGTAACCCTCACCTCCCTTGCGACTCAGGGATGATTTAGAAACAAATATTAGAGTCTAATGCCTGCCTTGTTTATTTATTTATTGTTTACACTTGTTTATAAAGTGTAACAGTTGGAAATACAGCTATTGTTGACTTCTTTTGAGAGTTTCCCTGTTCTAGAGCAGTATTGAACATTGCTAGTATAGAGTCTGCCAGTTCCCATTTCTAGAACATGTTTACAGAATGTATAATGATGCCCTGCTGTTGAGCTTCTGGTTTCTGCTGATAGCTTTCTAATTCCCAAAGTTCAGGTCAAATCTAAATGGGAGCATCAGGTTCTTGCTGCTCTGGTGAATTTCCCCCTTCTGCTTTGGTGTCTTGGTCTGACTTTTTCAGCCGGTGCTTTATAAATATCTGTCCTTTGCTCATCTGTTAGAAATCACAAAACATTGTGCTGGGAATCATAGAATCATAGAATCAAAGAGTTGTAAGAGACCTCATGGGCCATCCAGTCCAACCCCTTTCTGCCAAGAAGCAGGAATATTGCATTCAAATCACCCCTGACAGATGGCCATCCAGCCTCTGTTTAAAAGCTTCCAAAGAAGGAGCCTCCACCACACTCGGGGCAGAGAGTTCCACTGCTGAACGGCTCTCACAGTCAGGAAGTTCTTCCTCATGTTCAAATGGAATCTCCTCTCTTGTAGTTTGAAGCCATTGTTCCGCGTCCTAGTCTCCAAGGAAGCAGAAAACAAGCTTGCTCCCTCCTCCCTGTGGCTTCCTCTCACATATTTATACATGGCTATCATATCTCCTCTCAGCCTTCTCTTCTTCAGGCTAAACATGCCCAGCTCCTTAAGCTGCTCCTCATAGGGCTTGTTCTCCAGACCCTTGACCATTTTAGTCGCCCTCCTCTGGACACATTCCAGCTTGTCAATATCTCTCTTGAATTGTGGTGCCCAGAATTGGACACAATATTCCAGGTGTGGTCTAACCAAAGCGGAATAGAGCATGGGGAGCATGACTTCCCTGGATCTAGACACTATGCTCCTATTGATGCAAGCCCCAAAATCCCATTGGCTTTTTTTGCCGCCACATCACATTGGCGGAATCAGTTAAGCTTGCATTAATCAATCTCCAGTTTAAAGTTATCAAGCAAACAAAAATATACTATTTCCTGTGCTGGTCAATGACCGAAATAAATATTTTGATTTGAACAAAAATATAGGCTAGCTTTAGCGTATAAAGCCCTAAATGGTTCGGTCCCGCCACATTCGCAATCGCGTCTGGTGGGGACGAGAGACAGGGCCTTCTCGGTGGTGGCCCCTCGGCTGTGGAACTCTCTCCGATGGAGATCAGATCTGCCCCTTCCCTCCTGACCTTCGGAAAGCTAGTGAAACCCTAGCTCTGGGACAAAGCATTCCCAGATTACCGTATATACTCAAATATAAGCCGATCCAAATATAAGCCGAGGCACCTAATTTTACCATAAAAAACTGGGAAAACGTATTGACTCGAGTATAAGCCGAGAGTGGGAAATGCAGCAGCTACTGGTCAATTTCAAATTAAGTATAGATACCAATACAAATTACATTAATTGAGGCATCAGTAAATTAAATGTTTTTGAATATTTACATAGAATTGTAATATAAGATAAGACTGTCCAACTCTGATTAAACCATTATTCTCACCTTCTTCAATGTAAATGTGCTTACGTATCCTTCCAATAATAGAGTAAAATAATAAACGCTATAATAACAATAGTAAAAACAACAAATGTAATAATAATAGAGTAAAATGATAAATATAGTAATAATGAATAGAGTAAAATAATAAATGTAATAATATTAATAATATTAATAATAATAATAATAATAATAATAATAATAATAATAATAATAATAACAGAATAAAATAATAAATAACCTTGACTCGAGTATAAGCCGAGGGGGAGTTTTTCAGCCTAAAAAAAAACTAGGCTTATACTCAAGTATATACAGTAATTTGGTTGAGTCCAGCAATAACCTAATAATTACTGACCAAATTTGCGGATTGTGTTGATCTTGATTCTATCTTAGCGATTTGGCTTACATGTATTTATTCTGCCTGTATTTTAATTTATTATGATTTTATGATGTTTTTAGTTGTATTTGTGCATTGAATTTCTGCTGTCAACCGGTCTGAGTCCCTCCATGGAGGTAGAGAAGATCGGGATAGAAAAGTTTTAAATAAATAAATAGATAGATTTAAAAAGGAAGTTGCCTCATTGAATTCCAATGCTACATTATCAAAAGGGAGGAAACAGTAGCAAAGAGGAAGAGTAAAGGCAAAGCCCTTTTGGGAAACCTGCATAGGAAAGTGAGGGAGAGGTGTGCCTCACTCTCATCTTATCTCTAGTCTAGCTACACATTGAGGTCTGGAAACTTGATGACACAAGAGACTTAGGCAGTCCAGGGATGAAATTGGATTCTGTTCGGAATTTGGATTGTTGAGGTTCATAATATCATGCAGCAAGATTCCTCTATACATTAAGAAACTGCTCTTGTTTCACATTTGTCATGGGTTAGTTCAGCGGTTCTCAACCTGGGGGTCGCGACGCCCAGGGGGGTCGCCTGACCATTTCGGAGGGGTCGCGAGGCTGCCTCCGTTGGCCCCGCCCCAAGGCCTCGTGCAAAGCCCCCTCTCCCGCCTCGCTCTTTCGTCATTTGGCGAGGTCGTGAGGCGGGGGAGGGGCCTTTGGGCGAAGTCAGGCCTCGCGCCGAAGACCCCTCCCCCGCCTCGTGCTTTCGCCATTTGGTAAAGGTCGCGAGGTGGGGGAGGGGTCTTTGGCGCGAGGCCTGACTTCACCTAAAGGCCCTTCACCCACCTCGGAATTTCGCCATTTGGCGATATCGCGAGGCGGGGGAGGGGCCTTTGGGCAAAGTCAGGCCTCGCGCCGAAGACCCCTCCCCTGCCTCGCACTTTCACCATTTGGTAAGATCACGCGGCAGGGGAGGGGTCTTCGGCGCGAGGCCTGACTTTGCCCAAAGGGCCCTCGCCCGCCTCACGATTTCGCCATTTGGCGATGTTGCGAGGTGAGGGGAGGGCTTTTGGGCAAGTCAGGCCTTGCGCTGAAGACCCCTCCCCCGCCTCGCGCTTTCGCCATTTGGTAAGATCGCGAGGTGGGGGAGGGGTCTTCAGCTCGAGGCCTGACTTCACTCAAAGGCCCCTCGCCCGCCTCACGATTTCGCCATTTGGCGATGTTGCGAGGTGAGGGGAGGGCTTTTGGGCAAGTCAGGCCTTGCGCTGAAGACCCCTCCCCCGCCTCGCGCTTTCGCCATTTGGTAAGATCGCGAGGTGGGGGAGGGGTCTTCAGCTCGAGGCCTGACTTCACTCAAAGGCCCCTCACCCACCTCGGAATCTCGCCATTTGGCGAGGTCGCGAGGCGGGGGAGGGGTCTTTGGCGCGAGGCCTGACTTCTCCCAAAGTCCCCTTGCCCGCCTCGTGATTTCGCCATCGTTGGGACCCCTGAGCAGTTTGCAAGAGGGGTGTCAGATGGGTCACCAAAGAACATCTGCTGACCATGGGGCTCCTTTTAGGTAAGTTTGGCTCAATTCCATCATTGGTGGGGTTCAGAACACCCTTTGATTACAGGTGAACTGTAAATCCCAGCAACTATAGTTCCCAAATGTGAAGGTCTATTTTCACCAAACTCCACCACTCTTTGGCCATATTGAGCATTCATGACAAGTTTGGTCCAGATTGATCATTGTTTGAGTCCACAGTGCTCTCTGGATGCAGGTGAACTACAATTCCAAAACTCAATGCCCATCAAATCCTTCCAGTATTTTCTATTAGTAATGGGAGTTCTATATGCCAAGTTTAGTTCAATTTCATCATTAGTGGAGTTCAGAATGCTCTTTGATTGTAGGTGAACTATAAATCCCATCAACTACAACTCCCAAATGACAAAATCTCCCCCCCCCCCAACCCCACCAGTATTCAAATTTGGGCCTATCGGGCATTTGTGCCAAATTTGGTTCAATGAATGAAAATACAACCTGCATATCAGATATTGACATTACAATTCATAACAGGAGCAAAATTCCAGTTATGAAGTAACAATGAAAATAATTTTATGGTTGGGGGTCACCACAACATGAGGAACTGTATAAAGGGGTCACCGCATTAGGAAGGTTGAGAACCACTGGGTTAGTTGCAGATAGGTATCATGTGAAATCGTTGGCTCTATCCCAATTAGTCTAATGTATTTGCATTCTGCCAGGTCCACGCAGACTACCCTCAGCTGATCTACGAGCCACAAATCTTCTTTGCCTTTGGCTCCCCCATTGGGATGTTTCTCACCGTACGTGGTGTCAATAGGATCGATCCAGACTACCGGCTACCAACCTGCAAAGGCTTCTTCAACGTCTTTCATCCGGTACGTAGGATAGTAACACTTATACCCACTGGCATCAAGATGTCAGATCCAGATCATGTTATTTCTATTTGGTTCCTTCTAAAATCATGTAACATTCGTCATCTGTGGGATCCGATTACAACAAAAATGGTCCAAATTTATCGCAAACTATTTAAGTATAAGAACCCCTCCGGTGGTGCAGCAGGTTAAACCGCTAAGCTGCTGAACTTGCTGACTGAAAGATTGACAGTTCGAATCGGAAAGTGGGGTGAGCTCCCGGTGTTAGCCCCAGCTTCTGCCAACCTAGCAGTTAAAAAATATGCAGATGTGCATAGATCAATAGGTAACGCTGCAGTGGGAAGGTAACAGTGCTCCATGCAGTCATGCTGGCCACATGACCTTGAAGGTGTCTATGGACAATAACGGCTCTTTGGCTTTGAAATCAATGTCTCTTCTATGGAGCCCCTGGTGGCGCAGTGGGTTAAAGCGCTGAGCTGCTGAACTTGCTGACCAAAAGGTCACAGGTTCGAATCCGGGGAGCGGGGTGAGGTCCAGCTGTCAATCCCAGCTTCTGCCACCCTAGCAGTTTGAAAACATGCAAATGTGAGTAGATCAATAGGTACCGCTGCAGCGGGAAGGTAACAGTGCTCCATGCAGTCATTATGGCCACATGACTTTGAAGGTGTCTATGGACAATGCCGGCTCTTTGGCTTTGAAATCAATGTATCTTCTATGGAGCCCCTGGTGGCACAGTGGGTTAAAGCGCTGAGCTGCTGAACTTGCTGACCAAAAGGTCACAGGTTCGAATCCGGGGAGCGGGGTGAGGTCCAGCTGTCAACCCCAGCTTCTGGTACCCTAGCAGTTTGAAAACATGCAAATGTGAGTAGATCAATAGGTACCGCTGCAGCGGGAAGGTAACAGCACTTAATGCAGTCATGCTGGCCACATGACTTTGGAGATGTCTATGGACAATGCTGGTTCTTCGGCTTTGAAATTGATAAGCACCACTCCCCAGAGTTGGACACGACTAGACTTAAATAAAGTAAATAAATAAATAAATAAATGTCAGGGGGAACCTTTACCTTTTGCTTGCCATAGATGCAGGCAAAACGTCAGGAGAGAATGCCTCTAGACCATTGCCATACAGCCCAAAAAAAACCTACAACAACCCAGTGATCCCGGCCATGAAAGTCTTCGACAATTCATCTTTACCTTTTATTTAGTGATAAGGCCTGTGATTCCTCCACGCAATATGGAATATCTTCTTGGTTCCACTGACATGGAAGCTTGCGTAGAAAATGCAAAAAAGCGTCTATATACTTGAACTTCAAAGCATACGCTCTGCCTGGGACTGCTTTGGAAGGCTTTGGGGTCTTCACTTGGTCCACTGTGTAGTAGCCAAAATTTTGACTGGAGTTTGATCCTTTTTGGGGGGCGGGTGGAGACTAAATGATAATGATGGAGACCAACTGCTGCTCTGGCCAGAGTGAAGAGAGAGGGGGCTACAGTTGAAGACTGTTCCATCTTGTCTCCTGTGCTTTACTAATAATATAATACTAGCTGTACCCGCCACGCGTTGCTGTGGCCAACCTTCCCTCCCTCTTTCTCTCCTTCCTTTCCTCTTTTTCTTTCCCTTCCTTCTTCTTCTTTCTTCCATCTCTACCTGTATCTTTCCTCCCTTTCTTTGCTCTTTGGTTATACCCTTCCTTCCCTGTATTTTCCTTTCACTTTTTTATTTCCTTCTCTCCTTTCTTGCTTCTCTACCTTTCCTTCTTTCTCTCCTTCCTTCTCTCCTTCCCCCTTTCCCGCCTTAATTCCTTCCCTCTTTCCCTCCTCCTCTCGTTACTTCTTGACTGTCCCTTCCAACTCTATTCTATAAGTCTATTTAATTTGTATTATGTAGTAATATTTAATAGTAACATATTATATAGTAATCTATATTACAATATATAAAATATTGTATTTATATCTCTCATAGAAAGAAGGAAAGGAAGAAGGAAGGAAGGAAAAAGGGAGGGAGGAGGGAAGGAAGGAAAAGAAAGAAGGAAAGGAAGGAAAAGGAAGAAGGAGAGAGAAAGGAAGGAGGGGGGTGAAGAAAGGAGGGAGGGAAATTAAGGGGAAGGAAATGAAGAAAGGGAAAGGAGGAAAGGAAGGGAGGAAGAAAAGGAAGAAGGGACAGGAAGGAAGGGAAGGAGGGAAAGAAGGAAAGGAAAGGAAGGAAGGGGGAGGGAGAGGAAGGAAGGAGGGAGGGACAGGAAGGAAGGAGAGGGGAAGGAAAGGAAGGAGAAGGAAGGAAGGGAGGGAGGGAGGAAAGAAGGGAAGGAAGAAAGGAGGGAGGGAAATTAAGGGGAAGGAAATGAAGAAAGGGAAAGGAGGAAAGGAAGGGAGGAAGAAAAGGAAGAAGGGACAGGAAGGAAGGGAAGGAGGGAAAGAAGGAAAGGAAAGGAAGGAAGGGGGAGGGAGAGGAAGGAAGGAGGGAGGGACAGGAAGGAAGGAGAGGGGAAGGAAAGGAAGGAGAAGGAAGGAAGAGGAAAAGGAAGGAGGGGGATGAAGAAAGGAGGGAGGGAAATTAAGGGGAAGGAAATGAAGAAAGGGAAAGGAGGAAAGGAAGGGAGGAAGAAAAGGAAGAAGGGACAGGAAGGAAGGGAAGGAGGGAAAGAAGGAAAGGAAAGGAAGGAAGGGGGAGGGACAGGAAGGAAGGAGGGAGGGACAGGAAGGAAGGAGAGGGGAAGGAAAGGAAGGAGAAGGAAGGAAGGGAGGGAGGGAGGAAAGAAGGGAAGGAAGTGAGGGAGAGAAGGAATGGAGTGTGGCAGAGGGGTTTTTGAGTTCTGTGACTACCACAAACGAACATTACATTTTTATTTATATAGATAATATTAATAATATTATAATTATAATACAATATATAAAAATACAATACAATACAATACAATAATAAAACAATATTATAATTATATATTTTATATTACATGTAATATTACTAATAATATTACAATATAATGGTGTAGAACAATATAGTAATATATAATAATGATATTGTACTGTGCTAATAATTTAATATATTGTGCGTGTGTATGTATTTGTGTGTGTGTGTGAGTGTGTGTGTATACAGATAAGATGCATTGGGATGGTATTTTAGAGATTTAGTTCTTAGGTTACACTGCAACTTGTTTGGATACAAATGTGAGATGGAGCTTCTTATCAATAATAAATAATATACTGTGTGTGCTTTCCTCTGCAGTTTGACCCAGTGGCATATAGGATTGAGCCCTTGGTTGTCCCTGATGTGGAATTTGAGCCCATGCTTCTCCCTCACCACAAAGGCAGGAAGAGGATGCATCTAGGTCAGTGTTTCTCAACCTGGGGGTCGGGATCCCTGAGGGGATCGCGAGGGGGTGTCAGAGGGGTCGCCAAAGACCATAAGAAAACACAGTATTTTCCGATGGTCATGGGGATTCCATGTCGGAAGTTTGAGCCAATTCTATCGTTGATGGAGTTCAGAATGTTCTTTGATTGTAATGAACTATAAATTCCAGCAAGTACTACTTCCAAATGTCAAGATCTATTTTCCCCAGACTCCACCAGTGTTCACATTTGGGCATATTGAGTATTCATCCCAAGTTTGGTCCAGATCCACCATGGCATGAGTCTACAGTGCTCTCTGGATATATGTGAACTACAACTCCCAAACTCAAGGTCAATGCCCATCAAACCCTTCCAGTGTTTTCCATTGGTCATGGGAGCCAAGTTTGGTTCAAATCCATCGCTGGTAGAGTTCAGAATGCTCTTTGATTATAAGCAAACTACAAATCCCAGCAACTACAACTCCCAAATTACAAAATCAATCCTCCCCCAACCCCACTAGCATTCACATTTGGGTGTATTGGGTATTTGTGCCTAGTTTGGTCCAGTGAATGAAAATGCATCCTGCATATCAGATATTTACATTATGATATATAACAGTAGTAAAATGACTGTCATGAAGTAGCAACGAAAACAATATTATGGTTGGAGGTCACCACAACATGGGGGACTGTATTAAGGGGTCACGCCATTAGGAAGGTTGAGAACCACTGATCTAGGTAAAACTCCTGGAATTTGGTGTCAATTCGTCCAGTGGTTTTTGAGTTATTGCTGTACTGTTGTATTGATATTTTGGTGTTAATTAATTGATACTACTGTTTTAATTGATTAAGGATTTTGTATTGTGTTGTTGAAACTGGTTGTTAACCGCTCAGAGTCGCCTGTGGGCTGAGAAGAGCAGTATACAAATTAAGCAAATAAATAAATAAATTATGTTAATCCCACAAACAAACATTACATTTTTATTTATATAGAAGATTATTAGTAATATTACATGTAATATCAATATATAATTATAATTATTATTAGTAGTAGTACTATATTTATTTATCGTGTCAGGCAACCGAACAGTTGTATTACATTTTTGACAACAAACAAACAAACAAACATACAAAAGACACAGAATTTGCAAGCTTGGTAGTTGATTAAATGGCCACTTGGAGTGCTTCTGGTGTTGCCGCAAGAAGGTCCTCCATTGTGCATGTGACAGGGCTCAGGTTGCATTGCAGCAGGTGGTCAGTGGTTTGCTCTTCTCCACACTCGCATGTCGTGGATTCCACTTTGTGGCCCCATTTCTTGAGGTTGGCTCTGCATCTTGTGGTGCCAGAGAGCAGTCTGTTCAGCGCCTTCCAAGTCGCCCAGTCTTCTGTGTGCCCAGGGGGGGTCTCTCATTTGGTATCAGCCATTGATTGAGGTTCTGGGTTTGAGCCTGCCACTTTTGGACTCTCGCTTGCTGGGTGTTCCAGCGAGTGTCTCTGTAGATCTTAGAAAACTATTTCTTGATTTAAGTCGTTGACGTGCTGGCTGATACCCAAACAAGGAGATGTCTCTGCCTTGGTCCTTTCACTATTGGCTGCTACTTCCCGGCGGATGTCAGGTGGTGCAATACCGGCTAAGCAGTGTAATTTTTCCAGTGGTGTAGGGCGCAGACACCCTGTGATAATGCGGCATGTCTCATTAAGAGCCACATCCACTGTTTTAGCGTGGTGAGATGTGTTCCACACTGGGCATGCCTACTCAGCAGCAGAGTAGCATAGCGCAAGGGCAGATGTCTTCACTGTGTCTGGTTGTGATCCCCAGGTTGTGCCAGTCAGCTTTCGTATGATATTGTTTCTAGCACCCACTTTTTGCTTGATATTCAGGCAGTGCTTCTTGAGGTCAGAGCACGGTCCAGAGTGACTCTTCTCAGGTTTTGGGTGCGCTGCAATGCTCCAGTGGGATTCCTTCCCAGGTCATCCTCAGCGCTCGGGATGCTTCTCTGTTCTTGAGATGAAAGGCACATGTCTGTGTTTTAGATGGATTAGGGATCAGCTGGTTTCCCTGTAATAGGCAGTAAGAGCACCTAGAGCAGGGGTCCGCAAACTTTTTAAACAGAGGGCCAGGTCACAGTCCCTGAAACTGTTGGAGGGCCGGATTATAATTTGAAAAAAACATGAATGGATTCCTATGCACACTGCACATATCTTATTTGTAGTGCAAAAACCACTTAAAAACAATACAATAATTAAAATGAAGAACAATTTTAATAAATATAAATTTATTAGTATTTCAATGGAAGTGTGGACTGCTTTTGGCTGATGAGATAGGATTGTTGTTGTTGTGTGCTTTCAAGTCATTACAGACTTAGGTTGACCCTAAGCGAGGGCCGGGTAAATGACCTTGGAGGGCCGCATTCGGCCCCCGGGCCTTAGTTTGAGGACCCCTGACCTAGAGCCTCGGAGAGCTTCTCTTCAACTATCTCAAATATATTATATATACATATAATAATTATAATATTATAATGTAATGCAATATAGTACTACTCAAAGCTCCCTTTTGTATAATTGCATTATTTATTATTTATTTATTTATTTACTTACTTTGCTTATATACCGCTGTATCTCAAGCCCGAAGGCGACTCACAGCGGTTCACAAACAGTAAAAACAGTAGAAACAGCAGTGGTTCCATACAACATATAACAATTGACTTAACACATTATCCATAAATTACCAATAAGCAATTACAATGCACAATTATTACAAAAAACAACCGTACCCAATCTTCTCATCATCCAAGCGTAGTCCAGGTTCGTCGTCCATTGTTCCATTCCTATGTTCCATTACCAGATTGCACTAAATTACTCAAACGCCTGCACAAACAGCCAGGTCTTCACCTTTTTGCGGAATACTATTAGAGATGGTGCTAGTCTAATGTCCGTAGGAAGGGCGTTCCACAGCCGAGGAGCCACCACCGAGAAGGCCCTATCTCTCGTCCCCGCCAGCCGAGCTTGAGAAGCAGGCGGGATCGAGAGCAGGGTCTCCCCGGAAGATCTCAAAGTCCTGGTGGGTTCATAGGCAGAGATGCGGTCAGATAGGTAGCTTGGGCCGGAACCGTTTAGGGCTGTAAAGGCCAACGCCAGCACTTTGAATTCAGCCCGGTAGCAGATCGGTAGCCAGTGGAGTTGGCGCAACAGGGGGGTTGTATGCTCCCTGCGCTCCGCTCCTGTTAAAATCATGGCTGCCGAGCGTTGGACTAGTTGGAGCTTCCGAGCTGTCTTCAAAGGCAAACCCACGTAGAGAGCGTTGCAGTAGTCTAAACGGGATGTAACCAGAGCGTGGACTACCGTGGCCAAGTCAGACTTCCCAAGGTACGGGCGCAGCTGTGCAAATGCTCCCCTGGTTATTATATGTGTATACAATATATTACGTTACATTATATTATATTATTAGCATAGCACAGGAGACAAGGTGGAACTGTCCCCTGGCCCCTCTCTTTTTACTCTGACCCGGAGTGGCAGTTAGTGCTGTGGGGAGGGGTCCCCAGCTGATGACATGATTTTGGGCATTATGAATGTTAGTGTAGGCCTGTAGGCCTGTGCAATCTGTGGGCCTTCAGGTGTATTGGAGTCCAATACAGTTCCCAGAATCTCTGACCATTGGACAAATTGGCGAGGGCTTTTGGGAAGGAGGGCCAAACAACTGGAGGTCCACAGGTTGTGCAGACCTGGCATAGGATCTTAAGCACCCCTGTGTTTAGTTTGCAAGACAACACTGATTCTCTCTTTCTTTTTCCAGAGCTGAAGGAGGGACTCACGCGGATGAGTATGGACCTCAAAAACAATTTGCTGGGCTCCTTGAGGACAGCCTGGCAGTCCTTCACCAGGTCTTCGTTACCGGCTGTGGAGGCCGGGACGACGGGAGAAGCAGAGCAGGAAGTGGAAGCGGAAGCGGAAGCCAGTCCTGAGAAGCAAAATGGTTAGTTACTGGCAGAACAGGATGTAAAGCCAGATAACAACGTTTGTGACACATCCCTGTAGAGTTTGTGCATTTTTCCCATAAGTAAAAAAAGAATGCCTTGTTCTGCACTCAGGCTGTGAAACTCCCAACTCTAGTAAATCTTGCAGAATGAAACTGCATTTGGATATGTTATCGAATGCTTTCATGGCAGGAATCACTGGGTTGCTGTGAGTTTTCCAAGCTGTATGGCCATTTTCCAATAGCATTCTCTCCTGACGTTTCGCCTGCATCTATGGCAGGCATCCTCAGAGGTTGTGAGGTGTTGTAAACTAAGCAAGTGGGGTTTATAAGAATAAGGAAACTCCTAGCATTATGTCCCAACGCACTTTATTCAGAGATCTAGGATATCTGCATGCCCACCCCCCTTCAAACACCCCACCTGTCGTGCTCAGCACTTTTAATTTTAATTTTAATTATTACATTTGGCCCGGACATTGTTTTTAACTGCGTCATTGCGTGTTGTTAATGTTATTGCTTGTTTTTGCTTTATTTTGCTGTATTGTTGTTGTTGTTTTATTGTTGTTTTTTGGGCTCGGCCTCGTGTAAGCCGCACCGAGTCCGTCGGGAGATGGTAGCAGGCTACAAATAAAGGTTTATTATTATTATTATTATTATTATTATTATTATTATTATTATTTATATCTGTGGAATGTTCAGGATGGGAGAAAGAACTCTTATCTGCCTGAGGCAAGTGTGAATGTTGCAAATGGCCACCTTGAATAGCCCTGCAGCTTCAAAACCTGGCTGTTACCTGCCTGGGGGAATATTTTGCTTATTTTCAACAGAAAGGAGGAAACAGTGAAAATGAACAAAACCTCGGTACCAGTATTTAAAAAAACCCTCTAAAATCAGGACAGTAAATAAAGAGCAACACTCAGAAAACAGGGGAATTCCAGACAGGAAACAATCAGGGCCAGTTAACACCTCCCAACAAAGGATTTCCCCCAGGCAGGAAACAGCCAGGCTTTGAAACTGCAGCATTCACACTTGCCTCAGGCAGACAAAAGTACTTTCTCCCACCCGGGACATTCTTTCACAGATATATAAACCTCGCTTACCTAGTTTCCAGCAGACCTCACAACCTCTGAGGAGGCCTACCATAGATGTGGGCAAAATGTCAGGAGAGAATGCTTCTGGAACATGGCCATACAACCTGGAAAACTCACAGCAATTCTGCATTTGGATAGTTTTTCAGAGATGGCTTAAAGTTTGCTGGTGTGAGATATTGATTGGATGAAGAAACCCAAGGTGACCTGAAGATCTGTGTTCTCTCATCTTTAGTGCCAAACTTGTTTTGATATCTATTTTGAGCTCAAATAAAAATTAGTTCTGCTTTTGCCTCTGTTTTATTAAAGTAAGGCACAACTAGTTGGCCCGCCCACTGTGTTTTATTTTCCATTATGTTATTTTGTAATTCTTATTGTACTTGATTGGTTTATTTATTTTATTGTGATGTTATTTTGTTGTTTATATTTTATGTTGCTGTAATGTATCGCTGGGCTTGGCCTCATGTAAGCCGCTCCAAGTCTCCTTTGGGGAGATAGTGGCGGGGTATTTATTTATCGAGTCATTAGCAACCAGTCAATTTATTACATTTCTAACAGAACAAAGCAAACAAACAGACAAAATACAGAATACAAAATTTGTGAATTTGGTTGTTGATTAAATGTCCTTTGACCAGTATCTGGCCACTTGGAGTGCTTCTGGTGTTGCTGCAAGAAGGTCCTCCATTGTGCATGTGGCAGGGCTCAGGTTGCATTGCAGCAGGTGGTCAGTGGTTGGCTCTTCTCCACACTCGCATGTCGAGGATTCCACTTTGTAGCCCCATTTCTGAAGATTGGCTCTGCATCTCGTGGTGCCAGAGCGCAGTCTGTTCAGCGCCTTCCAAGTCGCCCAGTTTGTGTGCCCAGGGGGGAGTCTCTCATTTGGTATCAGCCATTGGTTGAGGTTCCGGGTTTGAGCCTGCCACTTTTGGACTCTCGCTTGCTGAGGTGTTCCAGCGAGTGTCTCTGTAGATCTTAGAAAACTATTTCTTGATTTAAGTCATTGACGTGCTGGCTGATACCCAAACAGGGATGAGCTGGAGATGTCTCCCTTGGTCCTTTCACCATTGGCTGCTACTTCCCGGCGGATGTCAGGTGGTGCAATACCGGCTAAGCAGTGTAATTTCTCCAGTGGTGTAGGGCACAGACCTCGTGATAATGCGGCATGTCTCATTAAGAGCCACTTCCACTGTTTTAGTGTGGTGAGATGTGTTCCACACTGGGCATGCATACTCAGCAGCAGAGTAGCACAGCGCAAGGGCAGATGTCTTCACTGTGTCTGGTTGTGATCCCCAGGTTGTGCCAGTCAGCTTTCGTCTGATATTGTTTCTAGCACCCACTTTTTGCTTGATGTTCAGGAAATGCTTCTTGTAGGTAAGAGCACGGTCCAGAGTCACTCCCAGGTATTTGGGTGCGCTGCAATGCTCCAGTGGGATTCCTTCCCAGGTGATCTTCAGAATGGCGGGGTATAAATAAAGATGATGATGATGATGATGATGATGATGATGATGATGATGATAACTACCTTCGGGCTTCATGAAACAAGGCACAGAAAAGATAGGTTGTAATGCCTACTGCCATTGGATAGTTTATGCTAAGCTCATATAGATTGCCAGTTTCAGCTTATCACCCCTTTTACCTTGTCTTTTAAATTCAGAAGAGAAACCTGAGGAGGCATCCACTTCCATGAAAGAAGAGCCCACTCCGATCAATGTGGGCATGCTTAATGGGGGCCACCGGATTGACTATGTGCTTCAAGAGAAGCCAATTGAAAGCTTTAATGAATATTTGTTTGCACTGCAAGGCCACCTCTGCTACTGGTAAGTTTTAGGTTTCCCTTGTTTATGACTGATCCATTACATTTTTATTTAACACTAGCTGTCCTCTGCCACGCATTGCTGTGGCCCAATCTGGTGATCTGGAAAATAAAGTAATGAGAAAGTGTTGGTTTCTAATATATGTAATTTCTTTCTGCTTGTGCGTAAACAGTATTTCTTGCTGTTTCTTTGTCAATGCTGATGTGGAGAGTGTCTGGTTTGGCTACTCTGGAATATGCAACATGTCACTGTCCTTCTTTAAGGGTCCCTTTCAAATCTTTGATACTATATCTGAGTGTGTGTGAATCATATCTATCTATCTATCTATCTATCTATCTATCTATCTATCTATATCTATGACTGAATGGTTCTTTGTCAGGAGGACTTCGATTATATTTTCCTGCCCTAATGAAGGGAGTTGGATAAGTATTTTCTGTTGGTCATGGGGGTTCTGTGTGGGAAGTTTGCCACACAGAACCCCCATGGCCAAGAAAAGAGAAAGAGCAGATTTCTAAAGGGGTGTCAGAAGGGTCACCAAAGACCACAGTGTTTTCTGTCGGTCATGGGGGTTCTGTGTGGGAAGTTTGCCCCAATTCGGTCATTTGTGGGGTTCAGAATGCTCTCTGATTGTATGTGAACTGTGAATCCCAGTGACTACAACTCCCAAATGTCAAGGTCTATTTCCCCCAAACTCCATCTCTGTTGATAATAATAATATTTATTTATTTGATCAGTCATATGACCATTTCAAAATAGAACGCGAGTAAAAAACAAGGCAACAAGGTGAAGACAGCAGCCGACCTTCTATTTATAGTCAGAATCTTATTTTCCTGGTTCTTCTTTCAGGAAATCTGCTCTTTTCTTAATAGCTTTCAGAATAAAAAGGCTTACTCTGATGATGCTGGATCTTTCCTGCCCTTGCAAGAGGGATGTCAGAATATCATTTCTGTTGGGGGATCTGCAGTTGGATCATATTGGATGTAAATAAATATCTGTCTCGCAGTTCAGTATATGCTGGACAGTCAATCAAGAAATGTTCAATGTCTTCCACTGTTTGTTCTCCCCAGACGCAGAATCTCTCACTTCTTGGGATGTTACAGTAACACCCGGTTTGCACCATAGTACCGAGTTGTTCAAACCTAGCCCTAGTATATATTCTTCTTAAGGGTAGAGGAAGTGGAATAGTTAGGTAGTGCTCTAAATGAATATTCCTTTTGTGGGAAGCTAAAAACCTTGTGGCTGAAGACCTACCTATGCTCTCTAGTCCAGCTGTGCATAGACATCCCGAATGCGCCGCTTGAGCACTTGCATCTCTGTTCATATTTGGGCGTATTGAGTGCTTGTGCCAAGTTTAGTCCAGATCCATCATTGTTTGAGTCCACAGTGCTCTCTGGATGTAGGTGAACTACAACTCCCAAACTCAAGGTCAATGCCCACCAAACCCTTCCAGTATTTTCTGTTGGTCGTGGGAGTTCTGTGTGCCAAGTTTGGTTCAATTCCATCGTTGATGGAGTTCAGAATGTTCTTTGATTGTAGGTGAATTATAAATCCCAGTAACCACAACTTCGAAATGCCAAAATCATAATTTTTTGAGTGATGGTCACTCCTTGTGTTGTGAGAGGTTTTGTTGCCAAATTTGGTGTGATTTCGTTCATTGGTTCTTTGTTTTTAAGGTACTCATTATGCACAGTGCATTTTTAGATAGATAGAAGATGTTCTCCAAGATGCTAAATTGATTCTGGGAGACTTGGGTTTTCCTACATTGAATTGCTATTTATTTATTGTGTCAGGGCAACCAGTCGATTATATTACATTTCTAACAGAACAAAGCAAACAAACAGACAAAATACAAAATTTGTGAGTTTGGTAGTTGATTAAATGTCCTTTGACCAGTATCTGGCCACTTGGAGTGCTTCTGGTGTTGCTGCAAGAAGGTCCTCCATTGTGCATGTGGCAGGCTCAGGTTGCATTGCAGCAGGTGGTCAGTGGTTTGCTCTTCTCCACACTCGCATGTCGAGGATTCCACTTTGTAGCCCCATTTCTCAAGGTTGGCTCTGCATCTCGTGGTGCCAGAGCGCAGTCTGTTCAGTGCATCCCAAGTCACCCAGGAGTGAGCCTCTCATTTGGTATCAGCCATGGTTGAGGTTCTGGGTTTTATCCTGCCACTTTTGGATTCTCGCTTGCTGAGGTGTTCCAGCGAGTGTCTCTATAGATCTTAGAAAACTATTTCTAGATTTGAATTGCTCAATAGATTGCATAGGATGGCCCCTTGTGGAAACATAATGTGCCGTGGGTCCCCAAAAAACATGGTGAAAATGCCCCCTATACCTCTAGATGTCCTCTGGGGACATTTTTGTGTGTGTAATGCAATGGGAGGTGATTTTCAGATCTCTTGGGTGAAATAAAACCTGCCCCTCGCTTCCCACATTCATTCTCTGTAGTGTCATTTTAAACATTCTTTATATACTTGTATTTTCAAGGGAGTCGGAGGACACAGTATTGTTGCTGCTGAAAGAAATCTATCAAACGAAAGGCATCACTATGGACCAGCCTCTTCCGTAAAAACTGACGGGCTGCACCAGGCTGGTTACCAAATGTAAGTCCCCTTGCCTAGCAGACTGAATTGATAACCATTTCCCATTCAGTCACACTGTACAAAATGCATGCTGTACTTTTACCTTACGTGTACACTTGTATTTTTCGCTATTTTTTGGTAGACAATATGAGGGTTTTATTATTTGTTTAATCTATTTAGGAGGTTATAAAATGTTGCACACCCCTTAGCCAGAATACAAAAATCATCTACATAAATGGCTGAGACAGTGACACCTTTAGTTTCTGATGGTTCGGTGTACATAAACATTGTTTCATGCACAAATTATTAAAAAGACTATCTATAAAGGTATCTGTTTGTATGAAGAAGTATATACATGAATTCATGAATTTCGTGTTAAGGCTTTGGCCTAATCTCATTATATTGTAATGCAAACACAGATATTCCAACATCCATTTTTTTTCTAAAATCCCAAACTCTCCCAAACCCAAGCTTTTTGGATTTGGGATACTCACCATGTAGTACTGTATATACTTAAGTATAAGCCGACCCGAATATAAGCCAAGGCACGCAATTTTACCACAAAAAAACCTGGGAAAACATATTGAGTTGAGTGTAAGCCAAGAGTGGGAAATGAAGCAGCTATGGGTAAATTTCAAAATAAAAATAGATACCAATAAAATTACATTAATTTAGGCATCTGTAGGTTAAATGTTTTTGAATATTTACATAAAACTGTAATTTAAGATAAGACTGTCCAACTCTGATTAAACCATTATTCTAACCTTCTTCAATGTAAATGTGCTTACATATCCTTCCAATAATAATAAAGAGAGTAAAATAATAAATGTAAAAATAATAATAGAGTAAAATATAAATAACAGCGGTATACAAATAAAGTAAATAATAATAAATAATAAATAATAATAATAATAATAATAATAATAATAATAATAATAAATATGAGGATTTAAAGATTGAACTGCAAAGACTCTGGCACAAGCCAGTAAAGGTGGTCCCAGTGGTGATCGGCACACTGGGTGCAGTGCCTAAAGACCTTGGCCTGCACTTAAACACAATCGGCGCTGATAAGATTACCATCTGCCAGCTGCAAAGGCCACCCTACTGGGATCTGCACGCATTATTCGCTGATACATCACACAGTCCTAGACACTTGGGAAGTGTCCGAGGCGTGATCCAATACAACAGCCAGCAGAGTGTCTCCTGTGGACTCATCTTGTTGTATTTCTAATAATAATGTAAATTAATAAATAGCCTTGACTTGAGCATAAACCGAGGGGGGCTTTTTCAGCCTTAAAAAAGGACTGAAAAACTAGGCTTATACTCGAGTATATACGGTAAATGCATGCATACTATTTCTCAGAATGTATAATGGTTCGAACAAGCTTAATGTTGAAGATTTCTTGACTGTATGTCTGGAACTTTTACTCCCTTTAAACAACCACTGTGGATCCATATAGTCGTTAGATTACTTTCCCTGTATTAAGATGTCCCCCAGCATGTTATTTTTCCCTGCTTGTGGTTAAATTCAGATGAATTAAACCAGGGGTCCTCAAACTTTTTAAACCGGGGGCCAGTTCACTGTCCCTCAGACCGTTGGAGGGCCGGACTATAGTTTTTTTTAAAAAAAAAAATCAATAAAAATCCTCTGCACATTGCACATATCTTATTTTGCTGTGTGGAAGGGCCCTTAGAGGGGGTTCTTTCTAGCCCTCTTTAGGCAGTAATTCCAGGAGCAGAGAAGGGGAAATCTTCCTATTTCTAGTCTGAACAAAATCTGGCTACCAGTATTTAAAAAACTCTAAAATTATAACTGTAAATAAAGAACAACACTCAAACACAGGGGAACTCCAGACAAGAAACAATCAGGGCCAGCTAATCACCTCTCAACAAAGGATTCTCCCTAAAAACTGTCAGGCTATGAAATGGCAATCAAGGTGGCCAATTGAAACATTCATACCTACCTCCAACAGACAAGAGTTCTTTCTCCCACCCTGGATCTTCCACAATTTTCCTGGTTAAAGGTTTTCCTCTGACATGAAGTCCAGTCGTGTCTGACTCTGTGGTGCTCATCTACATTTCTAAGTCGAAGAGCCAGCGTTGTCCATAGACATCTCCAAGGTCATGTGGCCAGCATGACTGCATGTAGCGCCTGGGCAGCCTCCCTTGGCTGGCTCACGCTGTCCATCAGGCCTGAAGGATAGCTTGAGCCTGCCAAGGGAGGAGCAGGCCCGCGCGGCCTACTTGTGAGTAGACCACGCGGAGCAGCCTCCCTTGGCTGGCTCACGCTGTCCATCAGGCCTGACGGATAGCATGAGCCTGCCAAGGGGGGAGCAGGCCCGCGCGGCCTACTTGCGAGTAGACCACGCGGAGCAGCCTCCCTTGGCTGGCTCACGCTGTCCGTCAGGCCCAATGGACAGCGTGAGCCTGCCAAGGGAGGAGCAGGCCCGCGCGGCCTACTTGTGAGTAAAGCACTTCGCGAGGTGCTTTACTCGTGAGTAGACCACGCGGAGCAGCCTCCCTTGGCTGGCTCACGCTGTCCGTCAGGCCCAATGGACAGCGTGAGCCTGCCAAGGGAGGAGCAGGCCCGCGCGGCCTACTTGTGAGTAAAGCACTTCGCGAGGTGCTTTACTCGTGAGTAGACCATGCGGAGCAGCCTCCCTTGGCTGGCTCACGCTGTCCATCGGGCCCCATGGACAGCGTGAGCCAGCCAACGGAGGGGCACTGTGTGTGGGTGGGGGGGCGCTCCTCCTCCGCGGGCCGGATCGGGGCCCTTGGCGGGCCGGAAGTGGCCCGCGGGCCGTAGTTTGGGGACCCCTGAATTAAACACTGAGTCTCCTGCAATTGCTGTAGTTTAGGGATGTCAATCTGTGTTAACAAATGATTAATGTTTCTAAATAGAAGCCATTGCTCTTTGATTTCTGTGCCTTTTATCAGAGAAACAGCAAAGCTGACCCTTTCCTTGTTGCTTCCTTAGATTTACAAGTTCACCTGGACTCTGGTTCACCTTCCTTCGTCTCCCATCTGTTGCTGATGCATCCAACATATACCACCCCCATTGCCTGGAGCCCTCGAGGATTCACCACCTTCCTCATATTCCACAGGATACGCAGGAAGCCTGAGTCTCTGAACTTGGCATCCCCTGGTTAGAGAGTCGTGTGCGTCAGATTGCAATATCACCTGCACAAAGCCTAGCTCTGCACTAGATGGGGCTCAGTATCCGGTGCTAGATCTTCATACCTCCTCTTACGTTGGGAAGCCCCAATAACAGCTGTCCATATTGAATAAGGGACTGAACCATCAGGGTGAAGTTGCAAAGCCAAGTAAAGCTTGCAACAGGTATGGACATGAAGGAAAACCTTCTGTGGTGTTGTGTTTTATTGTTTTGAGGAACCGATTTGTTTTCCTATTATGCACACCTTTATTGCTGCTGCTTTACCCAATAGACGGGACCGCAGACCAAAGCAAGAGGCTGCCTCTGTTGCAGTCAAGTTGTACGATGAGTTGCCATTTTGGGGGTCCTCTAGCAGCAAAGAGATGGATGCCAGTCACCTGGGAAGAAATGGAAATCTATACGTTTGTTCCCTTTCCTGATGTAGAAGTGACTCCTCTCGTTATTGCACTGTCTTATCATTTGTTTAGTTTAGTTGGGATCCGGCTTTGGCCCGGGTCTCCATTGTATGCCTTCACTTGCCCTTGCCTTGTTGAGACCTGCGCAGTTGTGCATTGAGGAAGAGTGCCTGAGTAGTTTGGCTGCGTCTTTCTCTTCCGCGTAGGTGTAGTAAGCGCTCCAAAGGGTTTGAAGGTAGTGTGTGTTTGCACATTCCTCGTCTGTGGCACAAAATGGGTCTAACGTCTGGCTAAAAGAGAAGAGCGGACTCGGTATGACACTTCGGCACCAGCTTTGTGAGCTTAATTTGAAAGTATGTGCAGCATAGTCTTAGCAAGCAGCCAAAACCAGTGATAATTGCACCTTCTAAGCCTTTGCACAGAGATTCTTGCCGTTGGGTTTGAAGTAGGCTTTTGTGTAGTTAGCAACACAATAGACTAGTTTCTGGACACATTCAAGGCCTCATATTTAAGTCATGGTAGTAGATACCTCACTTGTACCTGATCTCGGAGAAGGATGGAAATGCGTATTAGGTTAGGAGATGACGTTTTTTCCATCTTAAAGGCAACATTTGTCAACATAGCGGCCTGCTGTAAATAAGATTAAATAGCCAGTCCTGGTTGCTGGCACCAGTGGGATAGCTCTTAAGCTGGCTGGAGTTTCAGAGAAGTAAAAACAGGATGCGAAAGACGATTCACAGGGTTGTTGTAGGTTTTTTCGGGCTATATGGCCATGTTTTAGAGGCATTCTCTCCTGACATTTCGCCTGCATCTATGGCAAGCATCCTCAGAGGTAGTGAGGTCTGTTGGAACTAGAAAAATTGGTTTATATATCTGTGGAAAGACCAGGGTGGGACAAAGGACTCTTGTCTGCTGGAGCTAGATGTGAATATATGAAAACCCCTTTCCTAGTAAGAGTGGTCCAGCATTTCTGTGTTCTCAAATAAAATGGACAATTTCAACAGAAAGGAGGAAACCATGAAAATGAACAAAATCTGGCTACCAGTATTAAAAAAACTCTAAAATTACAACAGCACAACAAAAGAGAGGAAACAAACAAGGACATCTAATCACCTCTCCACAAAAGATTGCCCCAGTCATTGCCAGGCCATCAAATGCTAATCAAGGTGGTCAGTTGAAACATTCACACCTAGCTCCAGTAGACAAGAGTCCTTTGTCCCACCCTGGTCATTCCACAGATATATAAACCCTTTTCCTAGTTCCAACAGACCTCACTACCTCTGAGGATGCTTGCCATAGATGCAGGCGAAACATCAGGAGAGAATGCCTCTAGAACATGGCTATATAGCCCGAAAAAACCTACAACCCACTGATTGGCACGGCAGTGGGATGCATGGTACTGCATTAGTAATTTGCTTCCACTTGTTCCAATATTTACAAGGTTGAAATATATTGATTTGGAGTTTTTTTGGCTTGCCCTGCAAGCCGAATATGCTATCAAGTGATTGGTCACTTATCCACGTTTTGGTGTAGTGGTGCAGAGTTTTCACTGATTCAGTACATTTTTTGCAAACAGTTTTCTTCAGGTCAGCAGCACAAAAAGTATGTTTGTGACCTGCCATTTTGTCTCCATATAGTCTTATCTAAGCGCTCCGCCAGCTGGTTTTCAACTGGATTATTCTTCTCCCCAAGTGTTTGCACTATTTGTCACCCCTTTATGCTTTCTCTTGACTGTGCGTGTACGTCGGATTGCAATATCCATTTGGTGCAATCAACATTAGACCCTCTGCAGGAGCGGAGGTCGATATAGGAGGAACCCAACCCTGGTCAGTAAAGTCCCCCAAAAACAGTGGATGTTTATGCACTTTGTAAAATATATCTATCCAAAAAAACCAACCTTTTTTCCAGTAAATATTTGACTTCAGTGTCTTTATTCAATTCTACAAAGAGAAGCTTGGAATTAAAGGAGGTGAAAGGATGTGTCTGCAAAAGGCAAGGAAGAAGTTTCTTGACTGTATTGTCGAAGGCTTTCATGGCTGGAATCACTGGGTTGTTGTAGGTTTTTCAGGCTATATGGCCATGTTCTAGAAGCATTCTCTCCTGACGTTTCGCCTGCATCTATGGCAGGCATTCTCAGAGTTTGTGAGGTCTGTTGGAACTAGGAAAAAGGGGTTTATATATCTATGGAATGACCAGGGTGGGACAAAGGACTCTTGTCTGTTGGAGCTAGGTGTGAATGTTTCAACTGACTACCTTGATTAGCATTTGATTGCCTGACAGTGCCTGGAGCAATCTTTTGTTGAGAGGTGATTAGATATCCCTTGTTTGTTTCCTCTCTGTTGTTGTGCTCTTCTAATTTTAGAGTTTTTTTAATGCTGGTAGCCAGATTTTGTTCATTTTCATGGTTTCCTCCTTTCTGTTGGAATTGTCCACATGCTTGTGGATTTCAATGGGTTCTCTGGGTAGTCTGACATGGTGGTTGTTGGGGTGGTCCAACATTTCTGTGTTCGAACAGCACAACAACAGAGAGGAAACAAACAAGGACATCACCTCACAACAATCTAATCACCTCTCAACAAAAGATTGCTCCAGGCACTGCCAGGCAATCAAATGCTAATCAAGGTAGTCAGTTGAAACATTCACACCTAGCTCCAACAGACAAGAGTCCTTTGTCCCACCCTGGTCATTCCAGAGATATATAAACCCCCTTTTCCTAGTTCCAACAGACCTCACAACCTCTGAGGATGCTTGCCATAGATGCAAGCGAAACGTCAGGAGAGAATGCTTCTAGAACATGACCATATAGCCCAAAAAAAATACAACAACCCAGTTTCTTTACTAATCTGTAAAAGGTAAAGGTTTCCCCTTGACATTAAGTCTAGTCTGGGGGTGGTGCTCACCTTCATTCCTAAGCTAAAAAGCCAGTGTTATCCATAGACTCCTCTAAGATCATGTGACCGGCATGACTGCATGGGACACCGTTACCTTCCCGCTGAGGCAATACCTATTGATCTACTCACATTTGCATGTTTTCAAACTGCTAGGGCTAACAGCGGGAAGTCACCCCACTCCCCGTATTCAAACTGCTGACCTTTTGGTCAGCAAGTTCAGCAGATCAGCAGTTTAACCCACTGCATCACCGGGGGCTAACCTGAGATGAATTTATGTAAGAGAAGAGAGGTTCTGTAGGTTTGCATCTAACTTTCAGGATTAATACAAGGACCAAAACACTGCAAGTTTTGTTTTTCATCTAGAGTACAGCAATTTTATTGGATACTTTAAAATTGAAAACAAGCAAAACAATTTTCTAGCAACTTGGACCTCTAAAAACATACAAAATATTGTAAGGGGAAACAAGTTCAAGTTCTCACAGCAACAATTGTTACCTCGATGACGGTTCAGATTAGCCCGGGCTTTAAAACCTGTGCAAAAAATACATAAAACCCTCTGGGCGCCACAATTCAAAGAGATATTGACAAGCTGGAATGTGTCCAGAGGAGAGCGACTAAAATGATAAAAGGTCTGGAGAACAAGCACTATGAGGAGCGGCTAAAGGAGCTGGGCATGTTTAGCCTGAAGAAGAGAAGGCTGAGAGGATATGGATAGCCATGTATAAATATGTGAGAGGAAGCCACAGGGAGGAGGGAGCAAGCTTGTTTTCTGCTTCCTTGGAGACTAGGACGGAACAATGGCTTCAAACTACAAGAGAGGAGATTCCATCTGAACATGAGGAAGAACTTCCTGACTGTGAGAGCCGTTCAGCAGTGGAACTCTCTGCCCCGGAGTGTGGTGGAGGCTCCTTCTTTGGAAGCTTTTAAACAGAGGCTGGATGGCCATCTGTCAGGGGTGATTTGAATGCAATATTCCTGCTTCTTGGCAGGGGGTGGACTGGATGGCCCATGAGGTCTCTTCCAACTCTTTGATTCTATGATTCTATGAAAAGTATTACGATACCAGGAACAGGGAGTGGTTGCAGTCCATTTGTGATTGCCAGGCAGAAAAATAACAGAACGGACCTGGATATGTAGCTCTCCAGATAAAGCTGGCCCTCCATATACACATATTCAAACATCTATGGCTCGACTATCCTCCCCAAATTCGAAAAAGCAAACTTTTTAGGATGGAGTCCACAAACTGGCAGGCTACACATTCCTACTCCATGTGAGCATCAAAACATGCCATTGATGTTCTAGAGCAGCGTTTCTCAACCTGGAGGTTGCGAGTGGGTGTCGGAGGAGTCACCAAAGATCATCAGTAAAGACAGTATTTTCAGTTGGTCATGGGGGTTCTGTCGGAAGTTTGGCCCAATTCTGTCGTTGGTGGGGTTCAGAATGCTCTATTTTCCCCAAACTCCACCTGTGTTTATTTGGGCATATTGAGTATTCGTGCCAAGTTTGGTCCAGATCTATCATTGTTTGAGCACAGTGCTCTCTGGATGTAGGTGAACTACAACTCCAAACTCAAGGTCAATGCCCACCAAACCCTTCCAGTATTTTCTGTTGGTCAGGGAGTTCTGTGTGCCAAGTTTGGTTCAATTCCATCGTGGAGAGTTCAGAATGCTTTGATTGTAGGTGAACTATAAATCCCACAACTACACCCCCCAAAACTCAAGGTCAATACAACCAGGAATAAGTTTCTATGATTATCATGGAATTTGTGCCAAATTTGGTCCAGTGAATGAAAACACATCCTGCATATCAGATATTTACATTACGATTCATAACAGTAGCAAAATTAGTTATCAAGTAGCAATGAAAATAATTTTATGGTTGGGGGTCACCACAACTTGAGGGACTGTATTAAGGGGTCGCGGCATTAGGAAGGTTGAGGAACACTGCTCTAAATGCTGTGGGACTGCAATTCCCATCATCTTCAGCCATCACAGCCAATGGGCTGCAATCCAAAAACATCTGGAGGACCACAACGTTCTCCCAGCTCTAGATTGTGATGCTGTCTGCTACACTGTCCATTGTTTTCCCCTTCCTTTGGGAGAAAACTTGTCCTTCTGGAACTATGACCTGCCTTCATTGGGTGCTAGCTTGTGACCCACTCCTTGGGACTACATTACATCAAGATGTGAGGAGACAACATGCTTGTGGATATCCTGGCCTTGGGACAGGGGGTCAGATTAGCTTGTCTTTTAGTCTATTACTAGCCTTCCCCTGCCACACGTTGCTGTGGCCCACATGGGGATTCTGTGTGGGAGGTTTAGGCCCAATTCTATCATTGGTGGTGTTCAGAATGCTCTTTGATTGTAGGTGAACTATAAATCCCAGCAACTACAACTACCAAATGTCAAGGTCTATTTCCCCCAAACTCCACTAGTGTCCACATTTGGGCATATTGAGTATTCGTGCCAAGTTTGGTCCAGATCCATCATTGTTTGAGTCCACAGTGCTCTCTGGATGTAGGTGAACTACGACTCCTTCCAAAACTCAAGGCCAATGCCCACCAAACCCTTCCAGTATTTTCTGTTGGTCATGGGAGTTCTGTGCGCCAAGTTTGATTCAATTCCATCATTGGTGGAGTTCAGAATGCTTTTTGAACTATAAATCCCAGCAACTACAACTCCCAAATGTCAAGGTCTATTTCCCTTAAACTCCATCTGTGTTCATATTGGGCATATGGAATATTCGTGCCAAGTTTGGTGCAGATCCATTATTGTTTGAGTCCACAGTGCTCTCTGGATGTAGGTGAACTACAACTCCAAAACTCAAGGACAATGCCCACGAAACCCTTCCAGTATTTTCTGTTGGTCATGGGAGTTCTGTGTGCCAAGTTTGGTTCAATTCCATTGTTGGTGGTGTTCAGAATGCTCTTTGTTTGTAGGTGAACTATAAATCCCAGCAACTACAACTCCCAAATGTCAAAATTCTATTTTCCCCAAACTCCACCAGTGTTCACATTTGGGCATATTGAGTATTCGTGCCAAGTTTGGTCCAGATCCATCATTGTTTGAGTCCACAGTGCTCTCTGGATGTAGGTGAACTACGACTCCCAAAACTCAAGGCCAATGCCCACCAAACCCTTCCAGTATTTTCTGTTAGTCATGGGAGTTCAGTGTGCCAAGTTTGGTTCAATTCCATCATTGGTGGAGTTCAGAATGTTTTTTGAACTATAAATCCCAGCAACTACAACTCCCAAATGACAAAATCATTTTTTTTGAGTGAAGGACATACATTGGGTTGTTAGGCGTCTTGTGTCCAAATTTAGTGTCAATTCGTCCAGTGGTTTTGAAGTTCTGTTAATCCCACAAATGAACATTACATTTTTATTTATATAGATAACAAACGATTTAAAAATGAAGTTTTGCGCACCGCTAGTGAGCTATTATACAAGGTCAGAGGCTGTGCTATGAAATCTCTGCTAACAGTGACCAAGACTCTGCAGTGTTTACAGGATCGGAACTAACTCCTTGCCTTTGACACGGTCCATCTCATTGCAAAGATAGGCCTTCCTAGAAATGCCAGGAACTGAAGCTGTGTCCATCTAGAAACACAATATTTGGTCTACCATCTATCTGTGGCCTCTTCCTGTGATGCTTTCAGGCCTACTGTTGCTCAGCAATCAGCTTTTTTTCCAGCAATGACTGTGAGATTTGCTTTAAATACACTCTGTCAGGAGTCTTGGAAATGTACTTAGCACAATGAATTGGAGAAAGCAACAGCTTCCCTGCAGCTTCATGACAAGTGCAAGCTGTTAGTTGGTGATCAGTGGCTGCATGTGGGGCACTACTGCCGACCAGTGGCTATATCAAGTTTTATTTTCTGGCTGAGTTGCAGATATGTTTCCATCTGATACTTTGTTAGATATGATATTAAATATATTTCATATAGATCTTGTATGCTTAACAATGAAAACAGAAGTTGTGGGAGGCCTGATAATTGTCAAGACTACTGACAATAGTATATTTAAGTATTTTTCCCCCTTTGGCAGTCCTGATTTTAGATTATTCCTTTGAAGCTTCTATTTACAATATAATGAGCTCCTGCTGTCACCATAAACTACTTTTATCAGTTGTCATGTATATTCCCATAAATTGTTTTCTAGATTAATAGTACCAAAGTATTTGCGCATGTACAAATTCTTCATCCATGGATTCTACCAACTATGCTTGAAAATATTACCTGCTACCCTAAAGAAAAATCCAAAAAGCATACCTTGACTTTGCCATTTTGTATAAGGGACACCATTTTACTATGCTACTGTTTATAATGGGTCTTGAACATCCACATATATTTGGTACCCACAAGTGGTCTTGAATCAAACTCCAGCAGATACCAATAGGCCATTGAAGGGGACAAACTTGTTTCAGTGGAGTTGGCCTTGCTGCTTCTTTGTTACATAGCAGCCAC